GGGAAGGGTACCCAAAAATGTCTGCTGCATTGAAGGTCCCAAAGAACACCGTGGCCTCCATCATTCTTAAATGTAAGAAGTTTGGAACCACCAAGACTCCCGGCAAAACTGAGCAATCGGGGGAGAAGGGCCTTGGTCAGGGAGGTGACCAAGAACCCGATGGTCACTTTGACAGAGCTCTCTGTGGAGATGGGAGAACCTTCCAGAAGGACAACCATCTCTGCAGCACTCCACCAATCAGGCCTTTATGGTAGAGTGGCCAGACAGAAGCCACTCCTCAGTAAAAGGCACATGACAGCCCGCTTGGAGTTTGCCAAAAGGCATCTAAAGGACTCTCCGACCATGAGAAACAAGATTCTCTGGTCTGATGAAACCAAGATTGAACTCTTTGGCCTGAATGCCAAGCGTCACGTCTGGAGGAAACCATGCACCTCTCATCACCTGGCCAAAACCATCCCTACGGTGAAGAATGGTGGTGGCAGCATCATGCTGTGGGGATATTTTTCAGCGGCAGGGACTGGGAGACTAGTCAGGATCGAGGGAAAGATGAACGGAGCAAAGTACAGAGAGATCCTTGATGAAAACCTGCTCCAGAGAGCTCAGGACCTCCGACTGGGGCGAAGCTTCACCTTCCAACAGGACAATGACCCTAAACACACAGCCAAAACAATGTAGGAGTGGCTTTGGGTCAAGTCTCTGAATGTCCTTGAGTGGCCCAGTCAGAGCCCGGACTTGAACCCGATCGAACATCTCTGGAGAGACCTGAAAATAGCTTTGCATCCAACCTGACAGAGCTTGAGAGGATCTTCAGAGAGGAATGGGAGAAACTCCCCAAATACAGGTGTGCCAAGCTTGTAGCATCATACCCAAGAAGACTCGAGGCTGTAATCGTTGCCGAAAGTGCTTCAACAAAGTACTGAGTAAAGGGTCTGAATACTTATGTAAATGTGATATTTCAGTTTTTTATTTGTTTAAATTTGAAAAAAAATCTATAAACCTATTTTTTCTTTCTCGTTATGGGGTATTGTGTGTAGATTGATGAGAGAAAAAAATGATTTAATCAATTGTAGAATAAGGCTGTAACGTAACAAAATGTGGAAAAAGTCAAGGGGTCTGAATACTTTCCGAATGCATTGTATATCATTGTTTTGTTTCTTTGAGGCTGACTTTCCTTGGGAAGTAATCTAAGTCTGTCACTATCAATTGATTAAGCTATTATTTATTATTATTATTATTATTATTATTATTATTATTATTATTATTATTATTATATTCTGTATAATAGAATATGTTTAAACCCAGACAGCTTTTAGGGAAACACTTGTGACCTTCTCTCGTTGGGTTAAGCCACGGAAGAAGAGTAGCCAGCAGTTAAAGCTTACATTTTTCTGCGTCTGTCTGGCGTGGAAAGGTAGGTCTAACTTACCATGCTCTAAGTACCATGCTCAGATTCCTAATGAAGTCTCAGATGTAATTATTTGCAAACAGGGACATTATCATTGCAAACAAGACACACTGATTTGGCATTGGAGAAATATGAAAAGATTAACACATAGGCCTATCTCTCAGTCCATTCTTAGCCTGTAATTTCGGTAATTTGTATGGTATTAAAAAAAGATTCTGCTAATATGTAAAAATTACGTAGAATTGCATGACATTTTTATAAAAGGCACTTTTTTCTCGTACTTCAAATATGATGATAGATTCATACACTGCTTTTACTATAAAGGAGATCTTTCCACCTCTACTCTTGTCCACGGTGGTCTGCGAACCCACAACCTTCTGGCCCGCAGCCCTGTGCGCTATCAAAATTCCCACGTTGCCATGTAATGCTTACAGGACAAAGAACAATTTCTACAACTGCATATCTAAGGCTCTGGTCTGTCCAAGAAGTGAGGGTAAACAGTAGACTTGTTCTCTTCTATCCACTTTGTTTTAATCATTATTTTCGGTATAGGGGAGGGTCACTCAGGGAGGGTTTAATATAAAATATATTTTGCTGAAGGGAGGGCCATCCATTTCCATTTCAGAGGTCTGATTTTCTCCATGTAACCCTTATTATAAATAATGGTCACTCCCTTAAGCCAACTCCTTGTTTATACTGTTCAGCAAAAAACTAGAAGGGTTGAAAGGAGCAGTCAATACCTGGCTGCCAGGTTGGCTCATGCCCACAACCACACTCTCACCCCCACTCCCTATGGCTGTAACATAATTGTGCTGCTTCTCCATTTCTGTGCCCATAATGGTGCCCATGAGGCTCTGTGTTCTATTACTGTTACTGAGTCACCCCATTAGTACATGCTCTACCAACAACACTCGGGGCATGTGAGAAAGAGGAAATCAACTGTGAACAACCCAAGGGGAGGGACGATGATATTGGAGGCATAGCCATTTATGTGTTTACCCGATTTAGTCTAAAAAGGTCATCATATTTCTGTCTTTCACACTTGTCTGAAAATGAAAAATCGTAAGGGTTATTTAAAAAAACATGATGGTTGATCGTTTGGTTGTGTATCAGTCACAATGCTCTATGTCTAACTGAATGTCTAACTGGATGTTCCAGAGTGAGTTGTTTATACATTAAGTATACCAAACATTAGGAACACCTTCTTAATATTGAGTTGCAACCCCCCCAGCCTTTTGCCCTCAGAACAGCCTCAATTCGTCGGGGCATGGACTCTACAAGGTGTCGAAAGTGTTCCACAGCGATGCTGGCCAATGTTGACTTCAATGCTTCCCACAATTGTGTCAAGTTGGCTGGATGTCCTTTGGGTAGTGGACCATTCTTGATGCACACGGGAAACTGTTGAGCATGAAAAACCCAGCAGCATTGCAGTTCTTGACACAAATCGTTCCACCTGGCACCTACTACCATACCCCGTTTAAAGGCGCTTACATTTTTTGTCTTGCCCATTCACCCTCTGAATGGCACATACACAATCAATGTCTCAATTGTCTCAAGGCTTAAAAATCCTTCTTTAACCTGTCTCCTCCCCTTCATCTACACTGATTGAAGTGGATTTAACAAGTGACATCAATAAGGGATCATAGCTTTCACCTGGATTCACTTGGTCAGTCTGTCATGGAAAGAGCAGGTGTTTTTTATGTTTTGTATACTCAGTGTATATTTTCAATGTTTAAGGGCATTTGAGGCCCCCCCCCCCCCCACACACACACCCCTCAGCCCTGTCTCATATGATGAAGTCATCGTTGCTGCTGTCACACAAACACATGGTGACTGGAAATCTTCTGGAAGAAGCTACACAAACACACATATACACACACACACACTCATGGCAGAGGGCTGATTGATGGGTGGTACGATGGCTCTGTCACCAGGGTGCTGATCGCGCTGTGCCCCCTGCCTGCCCAGAGAGAGAGAGAGACAGATAGAGGGATAGAGGCAAAAGAAAATGGGGGGGGAGAAGGGAGAGGGAATACATATTTTTCTGTGAGTCTCAGTATTAATCTCTGGTTTTCTCTGTGGTGCTATACAGGTTAAACAATTTCATACTGTTCTCTATTCTGTTAGAGAGGGAGGGGGAGGTCCTAGAAGGGAGGCTGTGGGGATGTACTCCCTCTCTCCCCCCTCCCCTCCCCCCTTTTCCCTTTCCTGTCTTTGTCTGCTCCCTCCTTTCTCATCTAGCCCCATATGACCTCAACCCCCCTTCCCCTAGCCTCCCCCTTCCCAACCCCTCCCTCAGTCCTAAACCACACTCTCAATGACCCCTCTCTTCTCTTGCCTCCTAAATCATTACAACTCACTTACCCACTCTCCTCTCATATATCAACCCACCAACCTCAACTCACTATTTAGTAGGGTTTTATTTTGCAACAACCCTACACACACAAACACGCATGCACACACACACAAACACGCATGCACACACACAAACACAGTCATCCCCTCTGTATGTGTCTCCATGATATGTGTTGTAGATAGCAGCACTAACTTTAGGGAGGGGAAGTCATTCAGTGGCCTAATTACAACTTTCCACATTGGGACTTTGGAAACAACCCGAAGTCCACAGGTCCCATCCTTTTTTACAGTTGTTGGCAGTCGACTATGCAATCCTGACAAATGTTCCTTTGCTACCCTAACCCCGTAAAGATCCATTCCCCAATACGGTAAGCCTTACAGGTCCCATACCCAACCAAAGTCCACAGGGGCCATTCCACTGTGGGTAGAGCCAAATGTGATGGCTGTCAGAGAGCAGATATTAGTGAAAAGAGCAAAAACCGACAGATACACAGACAGGAATGTGTTAATGGCCTATATTTTAGTCATGCTTCGGAATTCTAAAGAAAGCCATGAGTATCAAACATAGATCTGTGCGCATCCACGTGTCCATTGACATGATGCATGTAATATCTTGCGTTCATGCTAAAGTCTAATTTATACCTTATCGTCGCGGTCTGATGAAAACCTAATCTTCAAAACAGAAACTATTTTCCCATTAACGAACATACAATTATGAAACTTCAGAAAGTATTTTGAATAAATATTCTTGGTCCTAGAGTCATGAAATGTTCAGTGTACATTGAGGGGTGTTACTGCTTTCAATACATAAATGTAAAAAAGGAAAATTGGCAAATTTAGTTAGGGTTTTCATCAGACAGCGACATTATGCAAGTATGCAACGCAAGAACCCGATTAACTACGCAAAATGGCGATCCTGCGTAATAGCGTAGATTCTCAAATTGTGGGCTGCACATATTTTTGCTACGCATGTACGCAGAACAGCCATTGTAAGTAACTAATTGTGTACTTTCATTGTTTACTTACATAAGGTATAAATGAAGCTTTAGTCTCAAAATAACATGGAAGTGTTTTTCCAGGGGATTTGGGGAAATGTTTTTTTATGGGTTCTGAAGTGTGTGTGTTGCGAGGGTTGATGGGTAATGTAGTGTTGTATATGTTGCAGGGTAATCTATCTACAGGTCAGTATGAATGAAGGACTCTCCTACATCACCAGTTCTGTTCACATCACCACCACCGAATGTGTGAGTACAGCGACGTTCAACAACATTAAAGGAGAACTTTTATTTTTTACAACCAAATCTATGTTTTTTAATGTACACTACTGTTCAAAAGTTTGGGGTCACTTACAAATGTCCTTGTATTACATGAAAACATACATGAAATTAGTTTGAATAGGAAATATAGAAAAATGCATAGGAAATGTAGTCATTGACAAGGTTAGAAATAATGATTTTTAATTGAAATAATAATTGTGTCCTTCAAACTTTGCTTTCGTCAAAGAATCCTCCATTTGCAGCAATTACAGCCTTGCAGACCTTTGGCATTCTAGTTGTAAATGTTTTGAGGTAATCTGAAGAGATTTCACCCCATGCTTACTGAAGCACCTCCCACAAGTTGGATTGGCTTGGCTTGATGGGCACTTCTTACATACCATAACAGCTCAATAGTGTTGAGATCCGGTGACTGTGCTGGCCACTCCATTATAGAAAGAATACCAGCTGACTGCTTCTTCCCTAAATAGTTCTTGCATAGTTTGGAGCTGTGCTTTGGGTCATTGTCCCGTTGTAGGAGGAAATTGGCTCCAATCAAGCGCCGTCCATAGGGTATGGCATGGCCTGGCAAAATGGAGTGATAGCCTTCCTCCTTCAAGATCCCTTTAACCCTGTTATTCTTTGTGATCCGAACACCTCAAACTTCCATTCGTCTGTCCATAACACTTTTTTCCAATCTTCCTCTTTCCAGTGTCTGTGTTCTTTTGCTCATCTTAATATTTTATTTGTATTGGCCAGTCTGAGATATGGCTTTTTCTTTGCAACTCTGCCTAGAAGGTCAGCATCCCGGAGTCACCTCTTCACTGTTGACGTTGAGACTGGTGTTTTGTGGGTGCTATTTAATGAAGCTGCCAGTTGATGACCTGTGAGGCGTCTGTTTCTCAAACTAGGCACTCTAATGTTTTTGTCCTCTTGCTCAGTTGTGCACCGGGGCCTCCCACTCCTCTTTCTATTCTGGTTAGAGCCAGTTTGCGCTGTTCTGTGAAGGGAGCAGTACACAGCGTTGTATTAGATCTTCAGTTTCTTGGTAATTTCTCGCATGGAATAGCCTTCATTTTTCAGAACAAGAATAGACTGACGAGTTTCAGAAGAAAGTTATTTGTTTCTGGCCATTTTGAGCCTGTAATCAAACCCACAATTGCTGATGCTCCAGATACTCAACTAGTCTCAAGAAGACCCGTTTTATTGCTATTTTAATCAGCACAACAGTTTTCAGCTGTTTTCTAATGCTCAATTAGCCTTTTAAAATGATAAACTTGGATTAGCAAACACAACGTCCCATTGGAACACAGGACTGATGGTTGCTGATAATGGGCCTCTGTACGCCTATGTAGATATTCCATTAGAAATCAGCTGTTTCCAGCTACAATAGCCATTTACAACATTAACAATGTCTACACTGTATTTCTGATCAATTTGATGTTATTTTAATGGACAAAAAAATTGCTTTTCTTTCGAAAACAAGGACATTTCTAAGTGACCCCAAACCTTTGAACGGTAGTGTAAATGGATTTTATATAAGGGGGCAGACACTTTTTTGTGATTTCACATCCTCATTGTGTAGTATGGGGGCCCCGTAAAAACATGAACAAAGGCTCCAAAAACACCCAAATACGTCCTTTTAGAAAAGGAAAACCTTTCAGTATAGTGATGCAGGTCTTTAGATGTTTCCCCTATCCAGCTGTTCCATTCTCTGTGTAGCCTGCTGCTACAGGTAACTACCAAAATAAAGGAAACACCAACATAAAGTGTCTTTATAGGGCCACCATGAGCTGCCAGAACAGCTTCAATGCACCTTGGCATATATTCAACAAGTGTCTGGAACTTCCTGTGTGGAAGCACTCTATGCTTTCAATATACTTTGTATCCCTCATTTACTCAAGTGTTTCCTTTATTTTGCCAGTTACCTGTGGAATGAACGGAGAGGTATCGCTATAGACGCAACAAAATGAAATATGACGTTGCGGATAAAGTTCGGAATGACACAATTTCATGTGTACAACATTTAAAGACCTGCTTCACTATACTGAGAGCTTATCCATTTCTAAAAGGATGTATTTGAGTGTTTTCGGAGCCGTTGTTCATGTTTTTTTACGGGCTCCCATACTACACAATGAGGATGAGGAAGTGATTTGCCGTTTGGGGTTTCTCAAAAATGTGAAATCCCAAAAAAGGTGAATGGACCCTTCTATAACATGCTACTTACATCAAAAATAGAGATTTTGTTGTAAAAAAAATAATAGAACTTCTCCTTTAAGCACTGAGCAACATTCAGAAACACTAAGCAACATTCAGCAACACATATCCTGAAGCAATTCAAAATAATATTATTTGTTTGGTATAATTTTGCCCTTTTTGTCTTTCTCTGTACTTCTTATAGTTTCCTCCTCTTTTTTTTCCTCCTATTCTCTACGGTCTCCTCTGCTCTCTTTGTCATCAGAGGAGGCTGTGAGTATGTTCTCTCTTTCATCTTTTCATCTGTCTGTAGTCACACCAGAACTGTACCTTAACCAAGTAAATACCCCCCCCCCCCCCTTCAATCTTCACTCATCTCAGTCTAACTCCAAACAAGATACCATATTGGTTTGCAATTACACCTTTTTCTGTCTCTCTCTGTGTAGTTTGATGGGACGATCCTGCTGATCTCGTTGCTGGTTCTGACACTTTTGTTGGGCCTGCTGTTCATGTGGTGGTTCTGGCCCCTCTGCTGCACCTTGGTAAGACTAGCTCTTGTCTCTTCATTCAGCAGAGTCAGGAGTATTACTATGGGAATTGTAGTTATTTTGAGTATGGAGAGGGAGGATGTTTTGTTGTGTTTAATGTATCTTCTTCCTGATTTACTTGTTCAATGTGAATGGTTCTCTCTCCAGGTCATAAAAGAGCCCCCACCACCTCCTCCCTCAGAGCCAGTAAGTCACCCACATAGATATTCTATAATTCAGTTTTCCTGATGTTGCTAGGATGCCAATGTGATCTGAAAAGTCATAGTCAATCGATCAATAATATAATAATACTTTTAGCAAAAATGTTTATTTTCAATTTACAATCTGTAGAAACAATGAGAATAGAAAGGTTCAGAACTTTTGTAAAACATCACAGTACAGTTGAAAAATATATGGCAAATAGAAATCCAATATGGATGGTGTTAAGAGATAGATGGGTGGTGTTGAATGAAGTTGAAGGATGGGACTAACAACAACTAATAACAACAAGAAAACTAATGTAAAGCATACTGTGTCCATAATAAGTATATAGGTTATAGGTTGAGAGCTTTTGTGAAAGAGCACAGTTAGAAAGATATGGCATATAGAAGCAAACTGGATGGACATCATGAAAATGATCGGAGAGGTTGAGGGTAGAGGAAGTTCAGGAGTAAAAACAAACAAAATAGAATTATTGTAAAATTGACTGTGTCCATAAAATGTATATAGTATGTATAAGCTGGAAGTAGAGGCCTAAGCATTGTTGTTCACTAGTTTACTCCAATTAGGGAAGGGGTGGTGGGGTTGGAAAGTAATAAAGGGAAATATATTTTTTTAAAGGATATCTACAGTGGGGGGAAAAAGTATTTAGTCAGCTACCAATTGTGCAAGTTCTCCCACTTAAAAAGATGAGAGAGGCCTGTAATTTTCATCATAGGTACACGTCAACTATGACAGACAAATTGAGAGAAAAAAAATCCAGAAAATCACATTGTATGATTTTTTTATGAATTTATTTGCAAATTATGGTGGAAAATAAGTATTTGGTCACCTACAAACAAGCAAGATTTCTGGCTCTCACAGACCTGTAACTTCTTCTTTAAGAGGCTCCTCTGTCCTCCACTCGTTACCTGTATTAATGGCACCTGTTTGAACTTGTTATCAGTATAAAAGACACCTGTCCACAACCTCAAACAGTCACACTCCAAACTCCACTATGGCCAAGACCAAAGAGCTGTCAAAGGACACCAGAAACAAAATTGTAGACCTGCACCAGGCTGGGAAGACTGAATCTGCAATAGGTAAGCAGCTTGGTTTGAAGAAATCAACTGTGGGAGCAATTATTAGGAAATGGAAGACATACAAGACCACTGATAATCTCCCTCGATCTGGGGCTCCACGCAAGATCTCACCCCGTGGGGTCAAAATGATCACAAGAACGGTGAGCAAAAATCCCAGAACCACACGGGGGGACCTAGTGAATGACCTGCAGAGAGCTGGGACCAAAGTAACAAAGCCTACCATCAGAAAACACACTACGCCGCCAGGGACTCAAATCCTGCAGTGCCAGACGTGTCCCCCTGCTTAAGCCAGTACATGTCCAGGCCCGTCTGAAGTTTGCTAGAGTGCATTTGGATGATCCAGAAGAGGATTGGGAGAATGTCATATGGTCAGATGAAACCAAAATAGAACTTTTTTGGTAAAAACTCAACTTGTTGTGTTTGGAGGACAAAGAATGCTGAGTTGCATCCAAAGAACACCATACCTACTGTGAAGCATGGGGTGGAAACATCATGCTTTGGGGCTGTTTTTCTGCAAAGGGACCAGGACGACTGATCCGTGTAAAGGAAAGAATGAATGGGGCCATGTATAGTGAAATTTTGAGTGAAAACCTCCTTCCATCAGCAAGGGCATTGAAGATTAAACGTGGCTGGGTCTTTCAGCATGACAGTGATCCCAAACACACCGCCCGGGCAACGAAGGAGTGGCTTCGTAAGAAGCATTTCAAGGTCCTGGAGTGGCCTAGCTAGTCTCCAGATCTCAACCCCATAGAAAATCTTTGGAGGGAGTTGAAAGTCCGTGTTGCCCAGCGACAGCCCCAAAACATTACTGCTCTAGAGGAGATCTGCATGGAGGAATGGGCCAAAATACCAGCAACAGTGTGTGAAAACCTTGTGAAGACTTACAGAAAACGTTTGACCTGTGTCATTGCCAACAAAGGGTATATAACAAAGCATTGAGAAACTTTTGTTATTGACCAAATACTTATTTTCCACCATAATTTGCAAATATATTCATAAAAAATCCTACAATGTGATTTTCAGGATTTCTTTTTTCTCATTTTGTCTGTCATACTTGACGTGTACCTATGATGAAAATTACAGGCCTCTCTCATCTTTTTAAGTGGGAGAACTTGCACAATTGGTGGCTGACTAAATACTTTTTTCCCCCACTGTATATATATATGTATGTGTGTGTATGTATGTATGTATGTATGTATGTATGTATGTTTGTATGTATGTATATATATATATATATGCGAGGGGAAAAAAACATATGGGGGATTGGAAGTGATGCAGATAATTACATTGATGGAAGTTACAATCTATCTGCAATATTAAAGCTGATCTACCCCCTAAAAAAAAACGTCCATTCTAGTGTTATATTTAATTCTGTGGTCACCCAAGGAAACCCCTCTACATGTCTGAATGGTTACACAGCCTACACCTCAACTCCCATACTCATATTTACACTTCTAACTAACTATTCCCATGTCAGGAGTCTGATGATGAAGATGGTATGCCCAAAAAGAGATGGCCCACAGTGGACGCATCCTACTACGGAGGGAGAGGGGTGGGGGGCATCAAACGCATGGAGGTACACGTATGCACACACACACGCACACACAAATTATAGCAGAGCCGACCCTGTGCGGAAATGGATATCAGATAATATAGAACTGGCTGAAAGGAATTCCTGCTGTGTGTGTGTGTGTGTGTGTGTGTGTAGGTGCGGTGGGGGGATAAAGGTTCTACAGAGGAAGGGGCTAAGCTAGACAAGCCTAAGAATGCGGTGGTGACGATGCCTGAACAGGAGTATGAAGCGTACCAACCCAAACCACGCACACCCAAGCCCCGGAAACCTCCTCAGGACAGGAAGTGGTACGCGCCTATACAGGTAACACACACACAATATATAACACACACATAATATTTTTGGGATACCCAGAAGAACATTGCTAGCTCATTAGGGGTTCAAGCAGCGAAGCGGTGAGAAATCCTATTGTATTTGTTGGTGTTCAATGCTATTATGACGGTTCTTCCGTCAAGGCCTAAGATGTTGCGAATTTACATTAAGGTACACCCTCTCGTGCAATGCGATGGCAATTGGCCGCACAGGCACATTCAGATTGACCACAGGTTGGCGCTATAACAGGCATACATGTAGAGTGAATTCGGAAAGTATTGAGACCCCTTGACTTTTTCCACATTTTGTTGCATTACAGCCTTATTCTAAAATTGATGAGAAAAACATTAATTTAATCCATCTACACACAATACCCCAAAATGACAAAGCAAAAGAAGTTCTTTTTTTTATGTTTGCAAATGTATTAAAAATAAAGAGAAAAACCTTATTTACATAAGTATTCAGACCCTTTGCTATGAGACTCGGAATTGAGCTCAGGTGCATCCTGTTTCCATTGATCATCCTCAATATGTTTCTACAACTTGATTGGAGCACCTGTGGTAAATTCAATTGATTGGACATGATTTGGAAAGGCACACACCTGTCTATATAATGTCCCACAGGTGACAGTGCATGTCAGTGTAAAAACCAAGGCATGAGATCGAAGGAACTGTCCGTATAGCTCCGAGACAGGATTGTGTCGAGGCACAGATCTGGGGAAGGGTACCAAAACATTTCTGCAGCATTGAAGATCCCCAAGAACACAGTGGCCTCCATCATTCTTAAATTGAAGAAGTTTGGAACCACCAAGACTCTTCCTAGAGCTGGCCGCCTGGTCAAACTGAGTAATCGGGGAGAAGGGCCTTGGTCAGGGAGGTGACCAAGAACCCGATGGTCACTCTGACAGAGCTCCAGAGTTCCTCTGTGGAGATGGGAGAACCTTCCAGAAGGACAACCATCTCTGCAGCACTCCACCAATCAGACCTTTATGGTAGAGTGGCCAGACGGAAGCCACTCCTCAGTAAAAGGCACATGACAGCCCACTTGGAGTTTGCTAAAAGGCACCTAAAGGACTCTCAGACCATGAGAAACAAGATTCTCTGGTCTGAAGAAACCAAGATTGAACTCTTTGGCCTGAATGCCAAGAGTCACGTCTGGAGGAAACCTGGCACCATCCCTATGGTGAAGCATGGTGGTGGCAGCATCATGCTGTGGGGATGTTTTTCAGCGGCAGGGACTGGGAGACTAGTCAGGATCAAGGAAAAGATTAACGGAGCAAAGTACAGAGAGATCCTTGATGAAAACCTGCTCCAGAGTGCTCAGGACCTCAGACTGGGGCGAAGATTCACCTTCCGAAAGGACAACGACCCTAAGCACACAGCCAAGACAATGCAGGAGTGGCATCGGGACAAGTCTCTGAATGTCTTTGAGTGGCCCAGCCAGAGCCCGTACTTGAACCCGATCGAACATCTCTGGAGAGACCTGAAAATAGCTGTCCAGTGACGCTTCCCATCAAACCTGACAGAGCTTGATTGGATCTTCAGAGAAGAATGGGAGAAACTCCCCAAATACAGGTGTGCTAAGCTTGTAGCGTCAAACCCAAGAAGACTCAAGGCTGTAATCGCTGCCAAAGGCGCTTCAAAAAAGTACTGAGTAAAGGGTCTGAATCCTTATGCAAATGTGATATTTCAGTATTCTTTTTTTATACATTTGCAAAAATTTCTACAAACCTGTTTTTGCTTTGTCATTATGGGGTATTGTGTGTAGATTGATGAGGGAAAAAACATTTTTAATCATTTTTAGAATAAGGCTGTAACGTACAAAAAAGTGGAAAAAGTCAAGGGGTCTCAATACTTTCCGAATGCATTGTATATCTTTTGATTTGTTTGACTCAGTCGTGCAATTTGGCACTCATGCTTAGGGATTAGGGAGTCTACAGTGCCTTGCAAAAGTATTCATCCCCCTTGGCGTTTTTCCTATTTGTTGCATTACAACCTGTAATGTAAATTGATTTTTATTTGGATTCCATGTAATGGACATACACAAAATAGTCCAAATTGGTGAAGTGAAATGAAAAAAATAACTTTGTCAAAAAATTATACAAAATAAATAACAGAAAAGTGGTGCGTGCATATGTATTCACTCCCTTTGCTATGAAGCCCCTAAATAAGATCTGGTGCAACCAATTACCTTCAGAAGTCATATAATTAGTTAAATAAAGTCCACCTGTGTACAGTCTAAGTGTCACATGATCTGTCACAGGATCTCACTATATATACACCTGTTCTGAAAGGCCCCAGAGTCTGCAACACCACTAAGTAAGGGGCACCACCAAGCAAGCGGCACCATGAAGAACAAGGAGCTCTCCAAACAGTCAGGGACAAAGTTGTGGAGAAGTACATATCAGGGTTGGTTTATTTAAAAAAATCTGAAACTTTGAACATCCCACGGAGCACCATTAAATCCATTATTAAAAAATGGAAAGAATATAGCACCACAACAAACCTGCCAAGAGAGGCCCGCCCACCAAAACTCACGGACCAGGCAAGGAGGGCATTAATCAGAGAGGCAACAAATAGACCAAAGATAACCCTGAATGAGCTGCAAAGCTCCACAGCGGAGATTGGCGGAGATGACCCATCAACTTCAATGAACGATGGAGATTAATTGGGTTTTCTGACCATAATATCATTTAAGGTGCTCAAGTCTTTTTCCATAGTTTTTTATGTCATTTATCTTGTTTTGGTAATATAATTTCTTAAGTTACCAAATTTCTAAATATACAGTATGTCAACCCATCAGCTTAGCAGCCTGACTTGTTTGCCACCTTTTTTGCATCATTTCTTTGAACCATACAATTTTTCAATTCATCATCAATCCAGGGGGCTCCAGCAGTTCTCACAGTTAGTTTCTTAACAAGTGCATCAATCAATTAAATGTATTTATAAAGCCCTTTTTACATCAGCAGATGTCACAAAGTGCTGAATGCTTGTCAACAATTGACAAGAATAATTGTACAAATTCTCCTCCTTATACACATCAGAGCAACATACATGTTTTACATCTTCAACAAAAGAGTCCTGAGAAAACATTTTGTATGATCTCTTATAAATAACTTTAGGCCCTGCCTTTGCTACTTTGGCGTTCCTTGTTATTGCCACAATGTTATGGTCACTACAGACAATGGGAACTGATATTGCTTTGTAGCAAAGTTCTGCAGCAATAGTGAAGGTATGATCAATACAAGTGGATGTCACAGATTCAACACTATTGGTATACACTCTAGTTCAGGGCTAGGCAACCCTGGTCCTGGAGTGCCGCAGCCATTTTATGTTTTTGATTGAACTGACCTGGAAGACCAGGTGTGTTGAATTTAGGCAATCACTGAACTGATCAATTAGCTCAATTGGTCAGGTGTGGTATCAAGTGTGAACAAAATTTTCCAGGAACAGGGTTGCCTACCCCTGCTCTAGTTGGTTGAGTGATAAACTGGGTCATATTACATCATTAGTCACAGTAAGAAGCGTCCTCTTGAGAGGACAACTAGATGAAAATCAGCCAATGTTCAGGTCACCAAGAAAATACATTTCTCTGTTAGCATCAGAGACCTTATCTAACATTACACACATTCTCCAGATATAGACAATTTGCACTTGGTGGCCTATAGCAGCACCCTAAAAGGCTTTAGATGAGGCAGGTGAAGCTGCAACCACAGCACTTCTACTTCATTTGTCATGAGATCCTCTTTGAGCTTTACAGGAATATATCTGTGTCACAAAATGAGTGACAAAATGGTACAAAACCTGGCCAGATCATTTCAAGTCATCAATCTCAAGTCAAAGTCGAGTCCTGAGGTGAGGCTCCAAGTCCAAGTCAAGTCTCAAGTTATTTTATTTTCTATCAATTTGTGACTCAAAACCAAGTCATGTGACTCGAGTCCATAACTCTGGCTTGAACCCCCGGCATGGCTGCTTGCAGCTAGCTATATTTGTCATTATCATCAGTCCTGACGCTAAAAAACAACAGCTTATTAGCTCGATGCAATAGCAGTCTATGGTAGAATGTTTAGCTGTGAAAAAGGTCTATGGTACTCACCTGGATACAGAAAGGATTCATAAATAGAGCACCATAGAAAAGCTATTTATTTACCCCCAGCTTTTAATATGATCCCCTGATGGAACATTTTTATTCCCCTCCCTTTTCTCTATCCGCAGGGGAAGTTGGATGCTCTGCGGGCTCTGTGTCGTCGAGGATATGATCAGGTGTCCCTGATGAGACCTCAGCCTGGAGACAAGGTGAGACTGTTACTTTTCACATGCAGGCACACAGACACACAAACACAGACACAGGACTCCCCTATAGAGTCTGGTTCCTCTAAAGGTCTCTTCTGGGGTGTGTGTGTGCATTGCAGTGATCCTTTTCAATGAAGCATCTGCACTCTCTGTACCATAGAAATGGCAGGTGCTAGTGAAACAATCACAGGACTATACTATTAGTCACTGGTAGCTCCCATAGTACAGCAATCGGCCTCTCACACACACACACACACAGATGGATGTTTCTATGTAAACTCTGTGAATAACCCGCTGAAAACTGGCTCTCTTTCTGCCACACGCATGCACACACACATACTTCCTGAATTAACCGCTAATAACACTCTCTCTGTCCTACACACACAAAGCTACTATTGTTCAAACACAGGGAGAGTTGTGTACTGATACGGACTGTGAGTTGATTGAGTTTCCAGCTTCGTGTAGGAGTCCTCTGCTACTCTCCTGAGAGGAACTGCTAGCTCAGATACAGTAGTCTGCCTAAAAAGAAGAAGGATCAGGCAGAGATAATGTCATTTAACACAACAGTACGTACAGATGGGAGCCACCTTTCTAGTTGTCTCTGTTTCATTCACTGGGAAGAAAATATGTTTTGGGATACGACAGAGGCAGGTTTACTTTATGACTGCTATTGTTTGTGTTATGTTAGTGTTATTGTTGTGCAAAGAAGGGGAGGGGTAGACAAAGACAGAGAGAGACCCCCCCGCCCTCTCTTTCTCTTCTCACCATCTCTCCCTCTCAAGGAGAATCTTCTTCACATTCCCTCTTTCACTCCTTCTCTCTTTCATCCTCTTTCACTCCTTCTCTCTTTCATCCTCTTTCCCTTCTTCTCCCTCTCTTTGTCTGTCTGTCCTTTCTGTCCTTCTCGCTCTCTCGATTTCCATCTTTCTCTCATTCTCCCTCTCAATGCTCTTTCTTTTTTATCTCTGTCTTTCGTTCCTTCGTGACTGGGTTAGAGTTGGGGTTAGAGGGGATAGAGGTTAGAGGGGCCTTTAACAGACCCTTGGTGGTCTTATTTAACACCTTATTAAACAGTGAGGCCCTAAATTCGCACACTCACACACGCATGCATGTACACACACACACACACACACACACACTCACACACACAAACACACATCGATAGGTCCTAAAGTCACAGAGGGGACATTACAGAGCCCATTGAGAAGGAGTGGCATTGTTGAGTTGAGAGGGGGGAAAGGGGGTGTAGCGTCAGTAGAGGGATTGATGTGGGAAGCCTGGTTGGTTCTGACTGCGGTGGTCTGGTCGGTGAAAAGGGAAGCAGCAGAGCAGCAGACCTACACCAGAGACAGCATATGGACACAATGAGAACACAAGCTCATGAATATCAGAGAGAGAGGGAGGAGGGAATCCCTTCCATATGCTGCTGTAAACCAGCGTGGCGAGCCAGGGGTATTGTAACCAATGTGGTTTGGGGTAGGGGAGAGTTGTGTATCAGGTGCTTATTGCCATCAAGCTCTCACAGTCTCACGGCAGAAATATACGTTTTTGTACTTTTCTCCAAACATCACATTTCAGAAGGTTTTTGACACCCTGGGTTGACTCCTGCTCAGCATCATTCAGTTTCTCCAAACGTCACATTTCGAAGTTAAAGGGGAAGTTCACCCAAAAACACTTCTGGGCACTTTATAACACTTGCCTGGCAGTACCCCAGACATTGTTTGAGTATTTAGATTTCTGTATTTTTATATAAAAATGCTGAATTTCCTAAATTACTTAAAATGCATTCAAAACTATGTGTATTTATTGTTACATAAACAGCGATTGATGTCTCTGCATCAAATTGCCAAATAGATGTTGTGGTTTTTATGTAAAAAGTATAAAAAACAAAGTCCTACTTCATGCTAGCGCAAAGGCCTTCCGTTGCGAATATTATACTCCACTTTGTGTTCTTGGAGTTACGGTCTAGTGTAAATATGGCGGAAGTGGATGCTGAGTTCGAAATTAAGCAGCATGTCCAGTAAATTTGGTGAAGACCAATGTTCTGAATGGACAACAGTAGTATTGAAAACTGGAACAAAAAGGAAATTTCTAAAATTGGAGTGGAGGATACGTGTGTGAATGATAATGAATCGCTTCTTGTTGGGATGCGTTTGTTGAGTAATGATGCATATGTAGGAAACCCGTTTGAGTTGTCGAAAATGGTGAAGTATGCGCTTGGAAAAGTGGAGTCTGTCAGAGTGACCAGGAGTGGTCTAAATTTGATTAATTGTATTTCTGAAGAGCAGAGGAAGATTGCAGTGGGCGCGGCGTCTGACCCGCTGGGTGAATGGAGAAAAAGAAGAAAGTCTGTCAGTCCTGTTGTTTTTTGATAAAGAGCAAATACCTACGCATGTGAAGCTTGGTTATGTAAGAATTACTATTATACAGTATTTGTATTGAAGATTGTTTATTTTATTCTATACATTGAGTTTGTGTATGGATGTGATTGTGTGAGTCTGTGAAATCACAGAGAGAAAGAACAACTTGTCAGATGGTGCATTGAAGACTGATGTATTCCTGTCCTGACTTTTCATAATACCATTGCAGATCTACACTACAGTTCAAAAGTTTGGGGTTACTTAGAAATTGCCTTGTTTTCCATGAAAACATGCATGAAATTAGTTTGAATAGGAAATATAGCAAAATGAGTAGGAAATGTAGTCATTGACAAGGTTAGAAATAATGATTTTTAATTGAAATCATAATTGTGTCCTTCAAACTTTGCTTTTGTCAAAGAATCCTCCATTTGCAGCAATGACAGCCTTGCAGACTTGGCATTCTAGTTGTCAATTTGTTGAGGTAATCTGAAGAGATTTCACCCCATGCTTCCTGAAGCACCTCCCACAAGTTGGATTGGCTTGATGGGCACTTCTTACGTACCATACGGTCAAGCTGCTCCCACAACAGCTCAATAGGGTTGAGATCCGGTGACTGTGCTGGCCACTCCATTATAGACAGAATACCAGCTGACTGCTTCTTCCCTAAATAGTTCTTGCATAGTTTGGAGCTGTGCTTTGGGTCATTGTCCTGTTGTAGGAGGAAATTGGTTCCAATCAAGCACCGTCCACAGAGTATGGCATGGCCTGGCAAAATGGAGTGATAGCCTTCCTTCTTCAAGATCCCTTTTACTCTGTACAAATCACCCACTTTACCACCACCAAAGCACCCCCAGACCCTCACATTGCCTCCACCATGCTTGACAGATGGCATCAAGCACTCCTCCAGCATCTTTTCATTTGGTCTGCGTCTCACAAATGTTCTTCTTTGTGATCCGAACACCTCAAACTTCGATTCGTCTGTCCATAACACTTTTTTCCAATCTTCCTCTTTCCAGTGTCTGTGTTCTTTTGCTCATCTTAATCTTTTATTTTTATTGGCCAGTCTGAGATATGGCTTTTTCGTTGCAACTCTGCCTAGAAGGTCAGCATCCCGGAGTTGCCTCTTCACTGTTGACGTTGAGACTGGTGTTTTGCGGGTGCTATTTAATGAAGCTGCCAGTTGATGACCTGTGAGGCGTCTGTTTCTCAAACTAGACACTAATGTATTTGTCCTCTTGCTCAGTTGTGCACCGAGGCCTCCCACTCCTCTTTCTATTCTGGTTAGAGACAGTTTGCGCTGTTCTGTGAAGGGAGCAGTACACAGCGTTGTACGAGATCTTCAGTTTCTTGGCAATTTCTCGCATGGAATAGCCTTCATTTCTCAGAACAAAAATAGACTGACGAGTTTCAGAAGAAAGTTATTTGTTTCTGGCCATTCTGAGCCTGTAATCGAACCCACAATTGCTAATGCTCCAGATACTCAACTAGTCTCAAGAAGGCCAATTTTATTGGTTCTTTAATCAGCACAACAGTTTTCAGCTGTGCTAACATAATTGCAAAAGGGTTTTCTAATGACCAATTAGCCTTTTAAAATGATAAACTTGGATTAGCAAATACAACGTGCCATTGGAACACAGGACTGATGGTTGCTGAAAATGGGCCTCTGTACGCCTATGTAGATATTCCATAAAAAATAATCCGTTTCCAGCTACAATAGCCATTTACAACATTAACAAGGTCTACACTGTATTTCTAATCAATTTGATGTTATTTTAATGGACTTTTTTTTTTTTTTTTTTTCGAAAACAATGACATTTCTAAGTGATCCCCAAACTTTTGAACGGTAGTGTACATAAAAGCCCAAAAAGACAGCCGTGGTGTCGCTCTTCATTTCTTGGTTCATCTTTGGTACATATAAAGACTGCTTCAGATTGGTGCCGCGACCCGGATCAACAGATCAGCTGCAGCAGATCGCCGGGGGACCCCTACACAACTAGATTGACGTCACACGTTTAGAACATTTGAGGGCAAGGTTAACTTTGTACAATATGTTGCGTACACCTCAGTTGTATGAGATTACAGAACAGGAGAGAGAAGACGTATCAGATGTTGGTGATAACAATGTACATGTTACTCCGGTTGGTGTTACTGTGAGGGGTGCACAAGTTATTACCACTGGGATGGGGCGGGGGGCTCAGTTGGCCAGTATGGTGGAACAAAGTGCTAGAGCCAGGCCTGTTTGATACCCAGCAGCCGATACTAGAGGGCCAAATGTTAGCAGTAGCCAACCAGAGCATGATAACAGAAGCCAACCAGGCAATGATAACAGTGAAGAGTCTCAGAAGCCCATAGGGAGTGAAAATGAAAACCAAACCCAGTTGCAAGTCCTAGCAGAGTTAGTCAAACAACTGGGCAGTCTAATAGGAAATCAAGTTGCCTGCTAGTCTAGCAGGGGATGCGCCAAGCACTCCCCAGCCCATAGCACTAATACCTGATTGGTCAAAGGTCAACCTAATTCTGAAGTCAGAAGTCAGAGAACCACCCCACTTCAGGGGTGATAGCACATACCGGTGCACAGTCACTGAATGGCAAGAAATGATGCAAGCTTACTTGAAAAAGAAGGGATGCAGTATATCAGAAAGAGATACAGGACTGACAAATGGGGCGGGCTAAAGACATAGTAAGAATTGGGCTCCGTGGAAACCCCCTCGTTAACATAAGCAGAGACCCTGAAGCCATATACAATATCCTGAGGCAGCACTTTGGAGAGGCAATCTAATCCTCAATTCCATTAGGATACTTCTATGAAACATGCAAGCCTATTGAAAATTGGACAGTTGGAGATTTACAGGCAATGATTGACAGCCATCACAGAGACAGTCAGCCAGACACAGGGCGCATAGTACTGCCAAGGTAGAAGACGCGATGACCCCCAACACTTGGTGTATGACTCAACAATAAGCTGTCGGTCATGATAATTCAGCCACACCCACTAACTAACAGTGATCAGGCTTCATTGAACAAAGTGATTTCTCTCCTGGAAAAGCATAAAAAGACCATTACATGGGCATAGGCAGACGTTGCAATTGGAGGATGCATTTTTATGCATATTCTATAATGAGATTCAATAGGCTACATCTGCTGGCCCAAAAACATTTTCATGTAGGCTACACTGTCCCGCAAAATCACCCTGTTGTCCTGCATTTGGGTATTTTAAGGTAGGCGTGTTTTGCACTGAGTGAAAGGTGATCTCATTCTTTTTGGAACCGGGATGCCTCCCGGCCATGAGCCAGGTGCACGTTCAAAGGACACGGCGAATTCAGCGCAATACAAAAGAGGCGTAATTAAGCACATGGAGTAATGAGTAGGATTCTGTGGGAAGAGCTCAATTGCATACTCCTCGCGTCCTCTCTCCTTGTCTCCTTCTCAAAACACATTGGATGAGAAAGCCAGAGGTACTCTGGCTTTCTCCCCCAATGTGTTTTGATGCGAGAGTACGCGAAGAGTATGCAGTTGGGATCTTCCCTGTGTTTCACATGCAAAAGTGATTGCCTTCCCAGTGAACATTTTATGGAAAATATGTATGTTTCTGGACGATGCACCATGCTGCCTTGTTGACAACATGACAGAGTGGCGCTGCCTTGTTGGCAACATGACCAGTTCTTCCTCTCCGCCATAGACCGGTGCCCCCAGCTCAGCATAATCGAATCGGCCCATTTATATTTCTATGACCCCACGGATCGCTCATTTCATGGCAAAGTTTGCAAATAACAAATAATAGATACAAATGATATACTTACTCATGATATACTTCTGCCAGGTAAGCCTACTGGCAGTTAACATTTCATTGAGAAGGTTTTGGGGAAAGTATTTCTGTCAACCCACAAGACTGATATCACATCAACTGGCTACACACGGAGTGATAGACAAACGCACGCACCACACAGACAGACGGGCAATATTGCTGGAAATTAATTTGCAGATATTGTGTTAGGTTTGGCTTTTTAAGCCGATAGTGGCTAACCAGGGGTGGGATAATATCAATGTTGCATTGATTAGATAGTAGCTATAAATATCCTGTGAGTAATATTACCCAAAACACTTACGCTTCAGAGAGCTTCCCATTTGGACTGTCAGGTGTGGCATGTCCTTTCCAGTTGATCCTGGGCATTCTGAAGAAAGTCTCCAACACACGAGGATTGATGAGAGACAAGAAATCGGAGTGTTTAGTTCCACACGCGCCATCTTCTGCTTCATCGTCAGTCTGATGTTCTACCTCATCCATTATGGGAATGAGCTGGTCCCGTTCTCGACAGAGGACACATTTGCTGTCTGTTGGTAAATGTAGGCATCTCCTGCAACTGCACCACCAGTCACCGTCTGTTCTGGGAAGAGCCTGTGGTTCATCGATGTCTGCTTGCTCCTGTCTCTCTAGCTTTTCTCTCGGTCAATCTGCAAATGGACCAACTCAGCCTCAGTATACTCCGGCTCAAACCGAAATGGCACAACAGTACCATTCTGAAAATAAGGCCGGTCTCCAATTTCCCTCTTCGTTCACGTGATCTGATATTCTTTACTCGAATTAAATTTGACGAGGGCAGCAAATACTGTGAGGGCACTTTGGAAGTCCCAACTTAGGTCCCGACTTGCGGCACACATTCATTTACTTCCTGGATTTCAATGTGAAAATACGTTGTTAAAAATTATCGTACTGAAATAAGTTTGCTTACAAATTGTGCAGAGAAAGTCATTACAATGAATATTACGGTCATGGGAGGCCAAAGCGGTGTGTTTGAGAGATATTTATTATGGACTTTGAGGTTGAATGGGGTTTCTATGGGGAAGGTGGGGTAGAATCATCTTATTATATACATCAAAATACTCAAACAATCAACCTAAAAACTGTCTGGGGTACTGACAAACGGCCAGGCAAGTGTTATAAAAGGCCAAGAAGTGTTTTTGGGTGAACTTCCCCTTTAAGGGTTAAGGTTTTGGATAGGGTTAAAACATTAAGTTTAGGCATTAATTCCGAATGGTAAAGGTAAGGGTCTACCACTGGAATTGAACATGCGATCTTCTAATACGGGTCAATGCCCTAGCAAAACCCAAGCCTACTTGATGGTAATAGCGCTCACTGTTGCCCCTAGTGGCCGGTTTTGAAGGCATTTCCCGACACAGACGTCCAATTTCGAAGTCAATCTTGAGCTAGTCTGCAGAGATTTGGGAGTGTGTCAGAGGGGTCATAACCTAGCCTGGGTACCAGTCTCTAGCTAACATTCAACTCCTTGAGAGACTGGCCTTTCAGCAATCTTCAAATATAAACATTCTGTCATGAATGAGCTCGAGGAGATCAGAGGATAACCCTCACAGCTATCATCCAATCACAATGTTTATGCAAATTAGACTGAAAGGAAAACGTTCTAACTTAATTCATAAATTTGCTTGGACACATTCTAACATTGGGCATTCTGACATAATACATTTCATTGTACAACAGTGGAGGCTGCTGAGGGGAGAACGGCACATAATAATGGCCGGAACGGCGCAAATGGAATGGCATCAAACACCTGGAAACCATGTGTTTGATGTATTTGATACCATTCCACTGATTCCGCTCCAGTCATTACCACGAGCCCGTTCTCCCCAATTAAGGTGCCACCAACCTCCTGTGTCGTACACATAAACATTGGAGAACAGAGGATTCCTGTTTATTGCATTTTTCCCACCAGCCAATGTGATCACATCACACCAGAGAAGCTCTTGCCATTCAAACTTCCCCGCCAGTTCATTGTTAACACTGTAGCCTATTTTATATCCAGCAAGCAAGAGCAAGGTGCTTCTTTCCTTGAAAAAAATAAATATATATATACATACACTACCGTTCAAAAGTTTGGGGTCACTTAGAAATGTCCTTGTTTTCGAAAGAAATGCAATTTTTTTGTCCATTAAAATAATATCAAATTGATCAGAAATACAGTGTAGATATTGTTAATGTTGTAAATGGCTATTGTAGCTGGAAACGTCTGATTTTTTATGGAATATCTACATAGGCGTACAGAGGCCCATTATCAGCAACCATCAGTCCTGTGTTCCAATGGCACGTTGTGTTTGCTAATCCAAGTTTATCATTTTAAAAGACTAATTGATCATTAGAAAACCCTTTTGCAATTATGTTAGCACAGCTGAAAACTGTTGTGCTGATTTAAAGAAGCAATAAAACTGGCCTTCTTGAGACTAGTTAAGTATCTGGAGCATCAGCAATTGTGGGTTTGATTACAGGCTCAAAATGGCCAGAAACAAATAACTTTCTTCTGAAACTCGTCAGTCTATTTTTGTTCTGAGATGAAGGCTATTCCATGCGAGAAATTGCCAAGAAACTGAAGATCTCGTACAACGCTGTGTACTACTCCCTTCACAGAACAGCGCAAACTGGCTCTAACCAGAATAGAAAGAGGAGTGGGAGGCCCCGGTGCACAACTGAGCAAGAGGACAAATACATTAGCGTGTCTAGTTTGAGAAACAGACGCCTCACAGGTCCTCAACTGGCAGCTTCATTAAATAGTACCCGCAAAACACCAGTCTCAACGTCAACAGTGAAGAGGCGACTCCGGGATGCTGACCTTCTAGGCAGAGTTGCAAAGAAAAAGCCATATCCCAATCTGGCCAATAAACAGAAAAGATTAAGATGGGCAAAATAACACAGACACTGGACAGTGGAAGATTGGAAAAAAGTGTTCGGATCACAAAGAAGGACATTTGTGAGACGCAGACCAAATGAAAAGATGCTGGAGGAGTGCTTGATGCCATCTGTCAAGCACGGTGGAGGCAATATGATGGTCTGGAGGTGCTTTGGTGGTGGTAAAGTGGGAGATTTGTAAAGGGTAAAAGGGATCTTGAAGAAGGAAGGCCCATGGGACCAGTCAAAAGTTTTAGAACACCTACTCATTCAAGGGTTTTTCTTTATTTGTACTATTTTCTACATTGTAGAATAATAGTGAAGACATCAAAACTATGAAATAACACATATGGAATCATGTAATAACCAAACAAGTGTTAAACAAATCCAAATATATTTTATATTTGAGATTCTTCAAATAGCCACCCTTTGCCTTGATGCCAGCTTTGCACACTCTTGTTCCATAACGTCATGGAACAATTAATGTTGCTCCCAACTACCAATCAGCAACTCCAATCACCAACTGCATATTGAACGTTGAGATTGCCGAAAGGCCCATTCCTTTGACAAGGAGTGGAATGTTAGCTAAAGACACTGGTATTCACTACTCAAGTCATAACCTGCCTCTGGTGAGAAACAAACACAGCTCCATATAACCCTCAGCATACCCAGCCTCTCAGGCCCTCTCTCACCCTTGTTTTTCTATCCTCGTGGGGATCTAAAATGTATTTCCATTCAAAATCCTATTTCCATTCAAAATCCCTAATTGTAACCCTAAACCTAGCCCCTAACCTCAAAATAGCCTTTGTCCTCATGGGGACGTGGGAAATGTCCCCACATGGGAGAATTTTCCTTGTTTTACTATCCTTGTGGGGGCTTTTGGGGACAGAAGAACATGACCAGACAGACACATACCTACATCGCTGTGGTTTCTTGTGAGATAGCTACGTCTCAGCTAAGCAGAGAGAGAGAGGACAGAGAGAAATAGGGGGTAAGAAGAGAGCGAGAAACAGACACATCTGTACTGACAACTCTGCCTGTCGCCTCACATGACGTTAAAAGGATCCACTCACACACTTCACTCAGACACACACACACATTTCGCAGGCAACTGTATAAGATCCCTCCTTCGCACAACCAAAGATCCACTTACACACGCTATGCATATAGCAGAACAAGACCCCTATTCTGCAGATGTGATATCTCTATTTGGCCAAAGGTTCCTGTGAGTTTGGTGGAGAGGAGGAGGAAGAGGAGAGAGAAGTTGGGAGGTCCTGATTTGCGTTGACTATTTAATAAACAAGGCTCCTCCCTCTTTCCTCTCCTCTCCTCTGTGTTACGGGGCCATCAGGTGACAATGAAAGGGAATCACTTCTGTCACAGTATGGCTTGTGGCCTTTCAACTTCCCATCTGGTTGGGTGAAGCGCTTTTATAGAAGATGACACACACACACACTGTGGCAGAAACTGGTAACCCGCTGACGGCCGTTCATGGGCCCATTGGAGTGAGAGTAATGTGGAGAGATGGGAGAGTGAGATGCATGTGTTTGTCAGAGATGGGAGATTTTCATAATTGATCTGGATGTCTTAGTGCTTTGTGTTTTATTGTTGTGCTGGTCGTTATCGCTGTGCCTTTTTTTGTTGTGCTTTTCGTCATCGTTGATGTGCTTTTTAACAGTGTGCTTTTGTCGTTTTTGGTTTGTCATTGTTAGGTCTGCATTGCTTGCTGTTTGGGGTTTTAGGCTGGGTTTCTGTATAGCACTTTGTGACATCTGCTGATGTAAAAAGGGCTTTATAAATACATTTGATTGATTGATATGACAATTTTTAAAAGATATCCAAAACCTATGCATGAATAAAACCCTGGAGGATGACTCAGAGACGTACAGAGATGAGATAACGCTTTGTCTTTTCACAGAAATGTGTCTTTGCATCTGAAATTGGCTCCCTAATAACAATACAGAAATACAAAGGTTAGAGAAGTCATTGTCTTTTGATTTCTCCCCTCATTTCACCTCATGAGAGAGTTGGAGATGTATTCTGCCCAGTTAATGACGCGTGAAAGGACTTGTAAGGGGCTTTGTTGAGTGGGGCTCTGTGTGTGTGTCGTAGCTCAGAGACGATGTGTTACAGAATTCTCTCAGAACACTTAGAGGAGTGGATTCTTTAACACTTTTATTAGCACCCTAAAACCATTATTCTTAGTTTGCGCTGTTCCCCCCCAATCTTCACCTACCTTGATGCAAAACAGGACATATTCCTGGGATGTGTGTGTGTGCGTGCTGGTTTACATTGTCACCTTTTAATCAGAGAGGACTCTGCAACCAAACAGTGATGTAACTAACTGTGGAAAAAGCGTCTGAGTTGTGCGCTCCTGGTCTAACTTGTTTCTGTCTGTCTGTGTTGCAGGGTCGTTGTATCAACTTCACACGCATAAAAAACAAGGAGTCCTTTCGAACCCCTTCTGCCCGTCGCTCTCAAACCCTTCCCCCTCCTCCCCCTCCAGACCAGAGGCCTCTAGTCCAACCGTCCTCTCCTCCCCCACACTCCACTCCTCCCATCTCCATCCCTCCCTCCCGTGCTCCCCCATCCAGCCGACTTCCCCCAGGCCCCCCTCCAGCCCGTGCACCCCCAGGCCCCCCTCCCTCTCGACCCCCCACCCAGGCCCTGAGGACAAGACGAACCCCTACTACGCCCTCACAGTAGTAACACCCCCCCAAAAACACTCTCCCCACACCACCAAGAGCAAATGTATGTATTTAATCCAGGGGTTCGGACTTTGATCTCAAAGGTTTGTTGCTGGAAAGCAAATATATTTTGGTGAATACCAAATCAACTACTGAGTTCACAGTAAATGTATCTGGTCTTTAGCAGGTGTAGACAAATTATGTTTCCTCAAATTGTGTTGCCTTATGAACAGAAATCCAATTGTAATTGTATTAAAGCGTACAAATGGATTGAATCGTAAATAGGTCAACTCGGCCAGCAGAGGGATATTGTGAACATTGACATTGGAGGTTTAAAATATCCCTCTGCTGGCCGAGTTGACATATTTAAAGAAATGTAATTGGTTTGTGGAGAAAAAGTTTAAGACCTTTGATAGGCTGATGAGGAATTTGTTACAGCAAATAATCACTGCCACCTGGTGAGGTTAGCATAGGGCTAACGTGTGCCAGGTTATTTGATGGGACCAGCTACAATGTAGCATTCTATCACGTGACACTACGTTGACGATTTTAATTGTCTGATGCTTAAACGTAACCTCGAAGTTAAACTTTTTCTAATGTTCGTTTGGAGGCCAGGCTAAAGGTCCCTCACTTGAGACTAAAATTATAGTCTGCTTTGTGTTCATCTGTTAACAATGCAAAACATGTTGTCTAGCATTAAAGCATTTTCTTTCCAATATTTGCATCCAGCATTTTTATTCTGTGTACCAAGTTTAAATAAAAATTGTCCATCTTTGCCTTAAAAATGTTTAATATAGAGTTGGTCCCCCCTTTGCTGCTATAACAGCCTCCACTCTTCTGGGAAGGCTTTCCACTAGATGTTGGGACTTGCTTCCATTCAGCCACAAGAGCATTAGTGAGGTCGGGCACTGATGTTGTGCGATAAGGCTTGGCTCGCAGTCGGCGTTCCAATTCATCCCAAAGGTGTTCGATGGGGTTGAGGTCAAGGCTCTGTGCAGGCCAGTCAAGTTCTTCCACACTGATCTCGACAAACCATTTCTGTATGGACCTCGCTTTGTGCACGGGACGCATTGTCATGCTGAAACAGGAAAGGGCCTTCCAAAACTGTTGCCACAAAGTTGGAAGCACAGAATCGTCTAGAATGTCATTGCATGCTGGAGCGTTAAGATTTCCCTTCACTGGAACTAAGGGGCCTAGCCCGAACCATGAAAAACAGTCCCAGACCATTATTCCTCCTCCACCAAACTATGCATTGGGTCAGGTAGCGTTCTCCTGGCATCCGCCAAACCCAGATACATCCGTCGGACTGCCAGATGGTGAAGCGTGATTCATCACTCCAGAGAACGCGTTTCCACTGCTCCAGATTCCAATGGCGGTGAGCTTTATACCACTCCAGCCAACGCTTGGCATTGCGCATGGTGATCTTAGGCTTGTGTGAGGCTGCTCGGCCATGGAAACACATTTCATGAAGCTCCCGACTAACAGTTATTGTGCTGACACTGCTTCCAGAGGCAGTTTGGAAGTCGGTAGTGAGTGTTGAACCGAGGACAGACAATTTTTACACGTTATGCGTTTCAGCAATCGGCGGTCCCATTCTGTGAGCTTGTGTGGCCTACCACTTTGCAGCTGAGCCGTTGTTGCTCCTAGACATTTCCACTTCACAATAACAGCACTTACAATTGACCAGGGCAGCTCTAGCAGGGCAGAAATTTGACGACTGACTTGTTGGAAAGGTGGCATCCTATGACGGTGACACGTTGAAAGTCACATAGCTCTTCAGTAAGGCCATTCTACTGCCAATGTTTTCCTATGGAGATTGCATGGGTGTGCGCTAGATTTTATACACCTGTCAGCAACGGGTGTGGCTGAATACACTAATTTGAAGGGGTGTCCACAGTTTTGTATATATAGTGTATCTTTATACATCAGCCCTATATGCGAGTGACTTTCCCAAAGTCATGTTAACCAGTTGAGCTGATATATGACGAGTATAATAAATAAGTTATGTAGTGCTGAAATCTAGACATATTTATTATTTTAGGTTAATCAAATGTTATGTCATGTTTTTATCTTCAGAAAATGTGCTTTAATTAAACAGATTACACTTTCGGTTCTGCTATGTAGTTAACGTATCGTACTGTGTAAGGAAACGCTTGATGGATTATCATATTGAGTTAGACTCTGTGCTCACAAATATATCAAAAAGGGAATAAATTGACATATGAAAAAATTAAACATCCTGCAGTTTTGGTCTATTTTTCCCAGAATGGGCCAGAACATCTGCCTACCCCCTCAGAGAGAGGCCTGAGAACGGAGAGGCATGGGACAGTCTCCTCAGAGAACCTCTGTGGCTTAGAAATATAATTACTAAAATGGATATTCATATTCAAATGTAGTTCAACTTCTATGCTCTATGGACATTGGTTCTGTGTGCAGCCCTATGACTCATTATGTAACAAGCGGTAGCTTCACGTGACTCACGTCTGGTGACTCTTTCCTGGTCTGTACAAAACCCACTTCTTCCCCCCTAGACCCTACCCCTAATATATTTGAATTTACGTGAATCACTTGCTGACCACAAGCTCCAAGACAAGAATTCAGGCTTGGAGTGAAGATGACAGATCTCACACTCACTCATCAACCCTCGTGCACAATCTCATGGTCTTCATTATCTTGAAATCCACTCAGGTTACAGAGGGCATTCTCTCGTGCGACTTACATAGCACAGATATTTGGGTCTGGGTGACGAGATTAGAAAGAGGGTGAGAGAGAGAAGGAAAGAAGGGAGAGGGAGCGAGCAGCCAGACTTCCTTTGGTCTGCTGTGTCAGTAGAGGGGTTGGTCAGAACAATGAACAGTAGGAGTCTTGTAGTACTGTAGTCATCTCATGAATGGAGCCATTCTGTTGCTCTCCTGTTCACTGTTGCTTTAGTATGGGGTGAACAGGGCTCCACACAGCAATGACTGACTGCTTCATTCAAACACTACAGTCAAAGCCTCCAAGGATAAACTCCCAGCCTCCCCAACCCTACTGCCAATTTGTTACGCCGCCTTGTAGTTCTGGAAGAATGAGATGAGTGTACATCATATAGAAGAGGCCATATTGCTGATGTTTATCAAATCTACAAAGGCCAATGGAAAAGTGTCTGCGGCTAGGGGTTGATTTTGGATTTGGCAAAAGGCCACTTTTTATAACTTTTCTTCATGCCAATCACAATAATGAAAGAAAGCAGTTTGAAGTCTGATGTTGAAACAATAATAGTTTAATACATTCAAACAGTAATCCGAATTGTATTACATGTGCTGCAATATGAATTTTAACCAACTCCTATTGTTCATATTTAACTGCAATCTAGATCACCATCTAGCGGTCAAACAGAGCAATAACAAGCCATTAATTTTCACACTATCAACATTTTTCTTCCATCCTTTAAAGTAGGGTACATAAATACATTTAATAGATGTTTAACCATCTGTAAACATTTGGATTGAGTATGTCACTCGTTATATTTGATAGATTGAACATGCCTATAAAGTTTAAATTTCATGTGTAGGCCTGATTGTATCCGGCAAGCAAAAATAATCTACAGATCTATTTGAAGACCTCTTCTCATTCCTTCTCCCACGTTCTGTTTCTCGCAGACATTCATGGTCTGCTTGTTCAGGGGGGTATGCCTGAGCAATAAACTGCATAGACTCAGACCCATAGAATTAGCTTTAATGATATTTCTATGCACAGACCCTCTTGGACAACAGGCAGAAGGACACACATTCAACAGTTGGAGAGAACATGCATGTTAACTTTTCAGGCCCTCCGCTTGTTCCTTTGCATCCTCTTCCCAGACTGCGCTCCCTTCTGGGCCCCTCTCACCATGCCCTTAAACTGGCCCTGCATCTTCGCTTTCTTCCTACATACACACACACACACACACACGGTCAACAAAGGGTTAAGCTTTCACCATTACAACTCCTACTACAATTATTACTATGTGTATTACTAGTTCATTGCTGTTTTTACCTGCGGTTGAGCTGTGCTTTCCTCAGAGGGATGTAGGCATATGGATCAACCTTTCCTTTCCTCTTCACATCTCCTTTACCCTTCTGGAGAAATCACAAAAACACACACTTTAGCCTTGTGAAGATTCAACAAAGAGCTGACCAATAGTCCCAGTTTGAAATCATCCCTTCTGCCTGTGTGCGTGTCACCTTGGCCTTGTAGTCTCCCCCCAGGTCTCTGCTCCCACCCAGAGGTCTGTGGATCCCCGAGCCTCCAGCTGAAAGAAAGAAACTCACATGAATACATACATACATACATGAGATGACAGACCAGCAACCAGAACACACGGACACCAACTGACAAATAGAGACAGACGTATAGTTGGCTTTACCTTTGTATTTCAGCTGGGGTTCGATCTCCATGTCATCCTCGTAGTGACCATGCTGGAATGTCCTCTTCTTAGTCTTTATCTGAGAGAGAGAGAGAAAGATGGGGAGAGAGTTCAGAGGTTTCAGAAGTTGTGTCAGCAGAGGTAGGAAGTAACTCATTTCAAATACTCTTACTGTTAAGAGTAGCTTTTACGAGTACTTTTACTTGAGTATTTTCCAAAGTCAGTAACAGTTCTTCTACTTGAGTGGGATATTTCAGTACTCTTTCCACCCCTGGTGAGTGAGTGAAAGAGGGAGCTTGTGAGTGAGTGTAAGAGTGTAAATGGGTGATGGAGTGAATGTCAGCCAGTTCCATGAAAGAAAAAGTAGGGGTGAATGAGGGATTGAAGGTTGAAGGAATTACAATTGTTTATTTCTGAAGTATATTGAAGTCTGGCAACATTGTTTATGCACTTTATTTTGTCTAGTTTATTTTTTTAGCAATACATTGTAATTGCTTACATTTATTTTCAAAATGTTAACACCGGTAGTATATTTTACAAATCCTTTTTATTTAATTTTTTTGCATACAGCTGTGCCTCGTTGCAACTGATAAAATAAATGAACTTAGTTCCTACTGTACATTCATTTCCTCTACCTTTAATGCATGGAAAATATCATGTGTAACAACTTTCAGGTAATCTTAGTGAAATTAACTAATTATCAAGGTCAATCTTTTTATTTTTAATAACCCAATTACTTTTAATGCTTTTTTTTACACCAGTAATTTGACTTTACTTCAGTAAAATTTCATTAAACAGTATTTAGTCAGCCACCAATTGTGCAAGTTCTCCCACTTAAAAGATGAGAGGCCTGTAATTTTCATCATAGGTACACGTCAACTATGACAGACAAAATGAGAAAAAAAAGGCAGAAAATCACATTGTAGGATTTTTAATGAATTTATTTGCAAATTATGGTGGAAAATAAGTATTTGGTCAATAACAAAAGTTTCTCAATACTTTGTTATATACCCTTTGTTGGCAATGACACAGGTCAAACGTTTTCTGTAAGTCTTCACAATGTTTTCACACACTGTTGCTGGTATTTTGGCCCATTCCTCCATGCAGATCTCCTCTAGAGCAGTGATGTTTTGGGGCTGTCGCTGGGCAACACGGACTTTCAACTCCCTCCAAAGATTTTCTATGGGGTTGAGATCTGGAGACTGGCTAGGCCACTCCAGGACCTTGAAATGCTTCTTACGAAGCCACTCCTTCGTTGCCCGGGCGGTGTGTTTGGGATCATTGTCATGCTGAAAGACCCAGCCATGTTTCATCTTCAATGCCCTTGCTGATGGAAGGAGGTTTTCAATCAAAATCTCACGATACATGGCCCCATTCTTTCCTTTACACGGATCAGTCGTCCTGGTCCCTTTGCAGAAAAACAGCCCCAAAGCATGATGTTTCCACCCCCATGCTTCACAGTATGGTGTTCTTTGGATGCAACTCAGCATTCTTTGTCCTCCAAACACGACGAGTTGAGTTTTTACCAAAAAGTTATATTTTGGTTTCATCTGACCATATGACATTCTCCCAATCCTCTTCTGGATCATCCAAATGCACTCTAGCAAACTTCAGACGAGCCTGGACATGTACTGGCTTAAGCAGGGGGACACGTCTGGCACTGCAGGATTTGAGTCCCTGGCGGCGTAGTGTGTTACTGATGGTAGGCTTTGTTACTTTGGTCCCAGCTCTCTGCAGGTCATTCACTAGGTCCCCCCATGTGGTTCTGGGATTTTTGCTCACCGTTCTTGTGATCATTTTGACCCCACGGGGTGAGATCTTGCGGATCGGGGGAGATTATCAGTGGTCTTGTATGTCTTCCATTTCCTAATAATTGCTCCCACAGTTGATTTCTTCAAACCAAGCTGCTTACCTATTGCAGATGCAGTCTTCCCAGCCTGGTGCAGGTCTACAATTTTGTTTCTGGTGTCCTTTGACAGCTCTTTGGTCTTGGCCATAGTGGAGTTTGGAGTGTGACTGTTTGAGGTTATGGACAGGTGTCTTTTATACTGATAACAAGTTCAAACAGGTGCCATTAATACAGGTAACGAGTGGAGGACAGAGGAGCCTCTTAAAGAAGAAGTTGCAGGTCTGTGAGAGCCAGAAATCTTGCTTGTTTGTAGGTGACCAAATACTTATTTTCCACCATAATTTGCAAATAAATTCTTTACAAATCCTACAATGTGATTTTCTAGATTTTTTCTCTCTCAATTTGTCTGTCATAGTTGACGTGTACCTATGATGAAAATTACAGGCCTCTCTCATCTTTTTAAGTGGGAGAACTTGCACAATTGGTGGCTGACTAAATACTTTTTCTCCACTGTATGTAGGATATTTCAGTACTCTTCCCACCCTTGTGTCAGTAACCTCAGCAGGCAACTTTTTACGCAATGATATTCATTTTGTGGCGAATCCTAAATGTATTCTAATTTTATCCTAACTTACTGATGTCAATGGGAGACTTGGGCTGCGTTTACACAGGCAGCCCAATTCTGATCTTTTGCCCAATTAGTAGCAAAAGAACAATTAAGTGGCAAAAGATCAGAATTATTTTGCCTGTGTAAATGCAGCCCAAGTGAAAATGTGACTTGAGTGGAAGTTAGGATTGGCGCATTTAACAGGTTGGGGTGTAATGAAACGGGTTGTAATCCCTCCAATGACGGCAGTTTCACGAGTGTTTGTGCATATTGTCCCGATGCTACAGCATGAAAGGAACTTTCTGCGGACTATTCGGGACATGAGGAAGTAGTGTACCACGCCTAGGAAAGGAAGTCGCCACAGTCAGCACAGATCCCATGGTAACGTGGAAAATCAGTAGGCAACGCTGATGGATACTCACACTCTTGACTCCAGCCTCCTCCAGAATGTCTTTCATCTCTCCCTCATCATCTGTAGGGGAAGAAAGAGACATACTGCTTTAATATCAATCAAATAAAATGTTGTTTTATTGATTCATGTATTTATAAAGCCGCTGATGTATTTATAAAGCCCTTTTCACATCATCATTTGTGCTTTACAGTAACCCAACCTGGACCCCAAAGGGCAAGCAGAAGCAGGAGACTCACTTCCGATCAGTGGTTATGATAGATTATTACTAGATGTAGAGATGGAGTAATGTGGGTGAAAGGCAAAATAATAATTTCCATTCCCACAAAATGGATGATAAAGTATTCATTTTCTTTTAATTAGTTGTAGAGATGGAATAAATGTGGTTGAAGGGAAGTTCAGTTAACTTCTCTCTCCTCCCATAACGAAGAGTGAGTTTTGGTGTCTGTGCGTGTCCTACTACCTTTAGTCTTGTCTCCCTCGTCATCGTCCTCTCTGATGATGAGTCTTCCGTCTGACGTGACCTTGAAGCCGTGCTGAACTTTTGCCCTCTTCTTCATGTCTGGGTTGGTGGCTGAAACACAAAAACTCCCAGGTCAATACATACTCTCCAAAAAAAACAATCACCTTGCCCACCAAAAACCATGGGTCATGTTCATTAGGCACCAAAAGGAAGAAAACTGACTGAAACTGGGAGAGATTACCTTGAATTGTCCAATAAGAATTTCTCATTTTCATTTTCATTTTCAAATCGCAGAATGTTTAAAAGATTTTCCGTTGCATGCCCTAATAAACAATCTAGGTATCAATCTAGATCAACATTAGTCGTATTTCATTCCAGACAATCCGTTCACTTCCCTTTGCTGATCGGAGACAACTGGATGGATGTAAGCAATCGTTCTAGACATTTCATATTGATCTGAATGACCACCGAAGGGAAGGGATAAAGCTCCCTGGAATGAAACAGCCATAGTTTCAACAACACAAAGTTGAGAGTGAAGGCTCCACTACCCAAGACCCTCTGGGAGACAGTGGGATCCAGGAAGTTGAGTGGTTCGTCTCCCTGTCCCTCCTTCAGCCAGGCCCGCCCCTTCTGCTTTGTGGGCTTCTTCTGGTTCTTAGCGCCCTTAGGCCTTTCGTCATCTGACATGTCAGAGTCTGACTCGGCCAAGATCTCCTCAATACTAAGGGAGGGAAACAGAAAGGATAAGAGAAAGTCACAAATCTAATGGTGAGATGTGTATTATGTCAACAGTAGTGCAGCGTGTGTATACCTCTCTCCCCTGGCTTTAGGCTTTTCATCCCCGCTGTCTGAGTCGTCATGGTCTTCGTCAGCCAGTCTTGATCTCTTGGTTCTGGCCTCAGCCTTACGGATGTTCACCAACACCTTATGATGCTCCGCAGGCAGCTTGCTTTTCACCAACTCAAACCTACACACAGGGACACAATGTACATTACCCTAAACGTACATATCGTCATGGATTTCACTTGCTTTTTTTAAACTTGAATGTTTTATCATGTACAGGTAGCTGCCAAAATAATAGAAACACTTGAGTAAATGAGGGAATACAAAGTACACTGAACAAAAATAAAACGCAACATGCAACAATTATACAGAGTTACAGTTCATATAAGGAAATCGGTCAATAGAAATACATTCATTAGGCCCTAATCAATGTATTTCACATGACTAGGAATACAGATATGCATCTGTTGGTCAGATACCTTTTTAAAAAAGGTAGGGGCATAGATCAGAAAACCAGTCAGTATCAGGTGTGACCACCATCTGCCTCATGCAGCGCGACATCTCCTTCACATAGAGTTGATCAGGCTGTTGATTGTGGCCTGTGAATTGTTGTCCCACTCCTCTTCAATGGCTGTGCGAAGTTACTGGATATTGGCGGGAACTGGAACACGCTGTCATACACGTCGATCCAGAGCATCCCAAACGTGCTCAATGGGTGATATGTCTAGTGAGTATGCAAGCCATGGAAGAAATTTGATATTTTCAGCTTCCAGGAATTGTGTATAGATTCTTGCGACATGGAACCGTGCATTATCATGCTGAAACACGATGAGGCAGATGAATGGCACAACAATGGCCCGTCACATTCAAATTGCCATAGATCAAATGCAATTGTGTTCATTGTCCGTAGCTTATGCTTGCCCATTTCATAACCCCACCGCCACCATGGGGCACTCTGTTCACAACATTGACATCAGCAAACCACTCGCCCACACGATGCAATCTGCCCGGTACAGTTGAAACCGGGATTTCCCAAAGTTGGATACGACGCCGAACTGCAGTCAGGTCAAGACCCTGGTGAGGACGACGAGCACGTAGATGAGCTTCCCTGAGACGGTTTCTGAAAGTTTGTGCAGAAATTATTTGGTTGTGCAAACCCACAGTTTCATCAGCTGCCCAGGTGGCTGGTCTCAGACGATCCAGCAAGTGAAGAAGCCGGATGTGGAGGTCCTGGGCTGGCGTGGTTACATGTGGTCTACGGTTGTGAGGCTGGTTGGACGTACTGCCAAATTCTCTAAAACGACGTTGGAGGCAGCTTATGGTAGAGAAATTCAAATTCAATTATCTGGCAACAGCTCTGGTGGGCATTCCTGCAGTCAGCATGCCAATTGCACGCTCCCTCAAAACTTCAGACACCTGTGGCGTTGTGTGACAAAACAGCACATTTTAGAGTGGCCTTTTATTGTCCCCAGCACAAGGTGCACCTGTGTAATGATCATGCTGTTTAAATCAGCTTCATGCTATGCCACACCTGTCAAATGGATGGATTATCTTAGCAAAAGAGAAACGCTCACTAACAGGGATATAAACAAATGTGCACAAAATTTGAGAGAAATAAGCCTTTTGTACGTATGGAACATTTCTGGGATCTTTTATTTCAGCTCATGAAACATGGAACCAACACTTTACATGTAGCGTTTATATTTTTGTTCAGTGTATATTGAAAGCAGGTGTGGTTCCTGAGTTAAGCCCTATCAGTCTACACCCTTGGTTCGCAATATCTAGGTAACATATGGAATTGTTTTAAGATGGTCATACCATGGATCATTTAGCCAGTTGATTAGGAATTTTAGAACCCCTTGTAGGTATAAAAAATATATATAAAAACGTGATTTAAAAATAATATTTGGCCTTTACTGCTATAGCCCATAGAAACGCATTGAATAACATTCATAAATGGCAAATATATTATAAGGAATACGATTTTTAAGTGTCTGTTTTATTGTATTTTTTGGACCCATATTTAGTCACTTTGGTTATGGCATCTCTTACACCTTATTTCACTTGTGCCATTTTTACAGTGCAGTACTGGGTTACCTTACAACGACTCCCCTGAAGCGTGTGGGTCTTAGAGCAAAACAAGAGAGCGCTAGCTCAGGTTTTGCAGATGATTTCGTGACGATTTTCTTGTCAAGATCCTCTCGTGTAGAAAACACCGCTTTCACAAGCTCCATGGAATAGGCGCAACCGTTATATCGGCGGAAAGACGGTACATTTCTAGCTTAAAACACTCAGGGAGCTAGTCAACATGACGTGATGCGCTAGCGCGTCAATCAACTCTAGGGATGTTATGCTTAGGGTCAGTATTTTGCCTACCATGGCTATGCCCCCATAGGATGGCTATGCCCCCATAGGATGACAATGCCCCAATCCACAGGGCACGAGTGGTCACAATGGTTTGATGAGCATGAAAACCATATGCCATGTAGTATTGCACGGTATACTGAAACTTCTTTACTTTTTCAATACTGAAAATGTTCGGTACTAGAATGTGTTACTTCCGGTACTTCTGTCAAATGTGTCTCACGGATCAAGTCTGTATCGGTGCAGCAGATGTCCCCCTTACAGCACGAGGTGCGCACCGTACCTGCTCCACTTACTCATTGCTAGCCTGTACTGGGAGTCTGGGATGCATCATGTTAGCTCTCCACCATGGGCGGTGTGTTCAATAGGGCGATATGGGCGACGCACTGCCAAACGGGAAAAGGAAGGGATTTTTTTTCTAATCAATTATATCATGGCAACAGTAGTTCAGTGTTCACGTCTGATCTGCCAGCCACTAAATGTCCAATCAGGCTAAAGTCGTGCTTCAAATGTCCCCGCCCGTTTTGGGGCGATTTCAGTCAGGTTGAAAATCGCCCAGAAGTCTCTCATAGCCTCTAATGTAAAAAAATTTTTTTTCAAATTTCTGAGCTTTCAATACATTCTCTATGGGTGTCTGAGGGCTTGCACTTACGCGCTTTCGTCATACGTAACGTAACCATGAACGGCAGACAGCAACGCTTGGACAGCGACTGGTGTAACCGACATGCACCATCTTTCAGAAAAGATTAAGAAAAATGAGCTGTCAAAGACCCACATTGATAGCTGTTTGAGATTGTCTGCTTTGGTGAGAGTGAATATTGCCACTCAACTGGATGAGGGATACAGGCTAGCTGTCCGCCGCCACAACGATGAGGTTAGCAACAGCAGAGTCGTGAACACTGTCTACGAGAATCGAGACGACCTCATAGAATGTTTTGAAGCCATCCGGACGGGTTCATTGGGTTCATTTGACCAGCCCACCGTACCAGAAGCTACAGAATAAGGACATTGATGCTGTCTTTATCAAACGTGCCCTCGACAGCTTCGCAAGCAGTGTGCAGGCCATAAGGTAAGATAAAGATTAAACAATATCATTCGATCTTTCTCAAAGCAGAGCTTTATTTGAAAATGTATGCATGAAAGGAGACTGCATTTGTGTTTGAAATTACATTATTGTCATTATATATGGCCAGTGGTGTAATCTATCTTATTTTATATACTATGTGTACTGTACAGTGGTGCTCATAAGTGTATGAACACATTCTAAAGCTGACTAAAAAGAGGAATAAAAAAATAAAAAAATCATCTTTTGGAAATTGATCTTAATGACTTAATTAAAAAAGTTGGAAAATCCAACCTTTAAGGACACCAATTTTCTTTTCTTTTTTATTCCTCTTTTTAGTCAACTTTAGCATGGGATCATAAGCTTATGAGCACCACTGTATACTGTGCTGAACATCCAGGCTATGTGAGACACAAAGGCTAACTTAAACACTAAAGACTTTATGCATCCCTGCCCATTTTAAGTGGAACTGAAGTATTTGTACTATACATGGATACATTGCATATACCTGTGCATCACATAGACAACAATACTGTACAAAGCCAACAAACACATTGGTCTGTTTGCCTTCAGGGACTCCTCTCAACAGCAGCTGCAAGAAGCAACAGGAGCCAAAAGACCCAGAACAGCTTTGAGAGAAGAGGAGAAGCAGAGGCTGTCTGAAGAGGTCTGCAACACCATCCTGGATCACACCAAAGAAAGGTTCTCTTTCTCTGGCCACCTTGTGAGTGCTACCTTACTGCAAGCAGACATGTTTGAAAGGTACTGCCATTCAAAAAAATAAAAATCTGTTCATGTTCATTTTTACAAATCTATACAATTGGCCAGAATATGGTTGTTCATATTTACAAATCTATACAATTGGCCAGAATATGGTTGTTCATTTTTACAAAGCCATACATATTGTTTATGCAGTGTTGAGGAATGTGAAAGAACACCCTTGATTATTTTTACTGTGATAACTTATTTTGCTTTTGTAAGCCAACACTTTTGAGATCAGTCAATAAATGCTTCTGGTATTGACTTATATGCTGCCCCTGTCTTCATGTTGTTGCTGGACATATCTTTTTAAAAATGTGTGTAGGTCACCTAAATCATCAGAAAAATTGCCCCTCCTGAGAATTTTTTCAGGAGCCGCCACTGCTCTCCACTCATGCTGCACAGAAGTTAACACACTTGAATAATGCGACACGGCATGTAGAAATGTTGAAACTGTTATTTACTGTTAGCAAAACAATGCCTTTACAATACAAGATGATACCGACAGCTTCCAGCTTTGTAGGCTAACTTTCCTTGCTAGCTTACAGCTGAAGCTAACATCAATTCACTCTCCTAGTACTTTGTGAAACCCAACGCAAAATATGCTGATTTCAAAGCTGATTGCCACAAAAACTTTATTCATTAAATTAAAAAAAATCGGTCTCTCTCTCGTCTCTCCCAAAGATTATCTACTGCCTCAGCAAAATGACTGTGTGTGTGTGTGTGAGAGAGAGTAGGTCTCATGGGTCTCCACCCCCTTGCCTTGGGAATTATGTAATTATTAGGGCCAATTTTCCGAATATATGGAACATTTTCCGAATACGATTATGACCCGAGTATGTTTTGTAATTTTGTGATCCGAAAAAAGTAATCCGCATCTCTTTCACTCAGCGTGAAGCGATGTGTGCTCTAAAAAAGTATTGGCTAGTTCTTCTGTCTGTAAAGGAATGGGGTGGGGTATCGGTTGAGCCTGCTGCAACGATTGGATTAGAACAAGCCGCTCTGCTCTCATTTCCCCAGACAGACATATGCGCTGCTGTTTCACTCAGTCACTCGTCTCAGGGCACAAATCTCCCCTTCTCCAAATCTCGTGTATCAATCAGAATCCGTAGCTAGTCATTGTTGTTCAATCTAGTTATTTCCTGTCGACTTTGCTGAGGTCATATGGTTGTTTTTGTCTGTCTACTTGGCATTGTTTAGAGGCCTACGTTGTCTGTCGTTATAATTATTCAATTGCTGACGACCAGTGGCGGCTCCTGAAAAAATTCTCAGGGGGGGCAATTTTTCTGATGATTTAGGTGACCTACACACATTTTAAAAAGATATGTCCAGCAACAACATGAAGACAGGGGCAGCATATAAGTCAATGCCAGAAGCATTTATTGACTGATCTCAAAAGTGTTGGCTTACAAAAGCAAAATAAGTTATCACAGTAAAAATAATCAATGGTGTTCTTTCACATTCCTCAACACTGCATAAACAATATGCATTTCCATAAACAAATGAAATATCAGCTGAAAATACAGCATCTTGGTATTTGTTCAGATTGCAGGATCAACAAGAGCTTTTACCACATTTTTTGCATCATGGTTGAATTGGAAATATGTGCACCTGAGCATAATTCACAACAAGCAAGCAGGAGCTTTTGATAGAGGCTACTGAAAACATTGATGCAAGTTATTGGTAATAAGAAATTTTTATAGACTTCCATATTCTGCCCTCTTGTATAGATTTGTGAAAATGAACAGTGATAGACATTTTGCCTGAAAACAGAATTTGAAAATAATTTATAGAAAAGGTAAACACAGCTATCTGTATGGCTTTGTAAAAATGAACAACCATATTCTGGCCAATTGTATAGATTTGTAAATATGAACAACCATATTCTGGCCAATTGTATAGATTTGTAAAAATGAACATGAAAAAATGAAAAATAACTATTTTAAACAACATCAACTGTGAACTGATTTGGGCGTGTGTGTGTTAAAGAGACAGACAGGGAGGGACAAAGAGAGAGAGAGGCTACATTACTTGTACTGAAACTGTTCTCTTCTCTCTTTCAATGCAGCAAAGCGGTCAATGACTTTCTCATTGAAATCAGGCATGCTGAGGACTAGTTCCCTCTCCATGGAAAGCATGGCCAGTGCATTCAGACGTTCCTGGCCCATTGAATTTCGCAGGAATGTCTTAACTCGTGTCAAAGTTGAGAAACATCTCTCAGCTTCAGCTGTTGTCATGGGAGTAGTTATGAGGATGTTCAACAGAGTCACAGTCTCAGAGAACGTCTCCTGGAGGTTGTAGCTCATGAGAACCTGGTACAGTGCCAGTGCACCACAGTTTGACTTTCTCGTCGTTGGCAAAAAGACCGTTCAGTCTCTCCAAAAGCACACTGGCGATTGAGACTGAGGTTGATTCCGAGATGGGAAGGAACTCAAAAAAGCGCTCCTGCACTTTGTGGTTGCTATCTATGTACCTCAGCACAAGCACCAGCTGTGTCTGTGTAGAAACGTCCGTGGTCTCGTCAGCTTGGATAGCTACGAAGTTCGCCGACTTCACCTCCTCCACAATATGTTCCCTCATGACCGCTAGCATACACTCCAGTAGCTCGTTTTGAATGGTCTTTGATGTGAACTTCTTTCAAAGAGACAATCGAGTTGCACTGAACGCTAGCCATCTTGATAGTAGTACGTGAATTGATTGACGCTGCTACCCGCTCTTTTCTTAGTTACGTTCATGGTTATGTTACGTATGACGAAAGCGCGTAAGTGCAAGCCCTCAGAAACCCATAGAGATTGTATTGAAAGCTCTGATATTTGAAAAAAATAGATTTTAACATGAGAGTCTACGAGATACTTCTGGGGCGATTTTCAACCTGACTGAAATCGCACCAAAAGGGGCGGGGCCATTTGAAGCACGACTTTAGCCTGATTGGACATTTAGTGGCAGATCAGACGTCTAGATTAGAACGACCCAAGGCCATGCTTGTGCTGACGACCCAAGGCCATGCTTGCTTGCTATTATTATTTATTCTCGCCCAGGCATGTTTACCGAGCGACAGATCATTAGAAATTAAAATGACAAATGTAGATCGTTTATTTTGATTGTACATATGTTGTGGCATAAGTCTCGGGAGAGAAAAGTTTTCCTCCTCTCGAAAGTGACGCAATATATGGGGCAAGCGAATTAGCCTACCTCCAACTAAATCTGTCTGGAATAAATGCAGCCATGCATTAGGCTATTTATTAGCCTATTGCGTTGATAATTGAATAGGACTATTCAAATAAACGATTACAATTATGTTATTTAGTTAAGATTGATAAAAACAGTCAAATTGATTGTATAATTGATTCATTAATGCATACATGGCTGTCTCTTGAAAAATGTTGACGTAAAACATTTCAAAAGTAATGATATTGACCTCAAAAGATGTCCAACGATTGAACAGAGCCGCAGCTGAGTTTATCTGTCTGGATCAAGTGCCATTCTGTAACTTTGGCTAATATGCCTTTTTTGCCGTGGTATCGTTTTGGTATCGAGAATCGTGATACTAAACCTGGTATCAAAGTCAAAATTCTGGTAACTTGACAACGCTAATGCTATGCCGTCTCAGTCACCAGATATCAACCCAATTGAACACTTATGGGAGATCCTGGAGCGGCGCCTGAGACAGCGGTTTCCATCAACAAAAATATAGAATTTCTCGTAAAAGAATGGTGTTGCATCCCTCCAATCGAGTTCCAGACACTTGTAGAATCTATACCAAGGTGCATTGAAGCTGTTCTGGCTCGTGGTGGCCCAACGCCCTATTAAGACACTTTATGTTGGCGTTTCCTTTATTTAGGCAGTTACCTGTATGTATAATATCCATGTATTTCACTGTCCATTACCGCCATGTGGGTATTAATATAAACAGCTACAGCACGCCACTATTCAACTCAGATCCACATAAGGCTAATCATCTAACAAGCAAACTCCAGAGTGAAAAGTGTTGAAGTCAAATATGTAGCCTAAACTTACCCAAACTTCCTGATGAACTTGGTGAAAATGTTTTTCAACTTCGTCCTGAAGTGTCTTCTAACGTCATCCTTGATGTTCCCAACACCCTCCATCTGAGAGAGACATACAACCGTGTTCACGCAAAGTTTTGAAAACCAACTTCAGCGTAAGCGGTTTTCTGCTACACAGAGACCCAACATAAACCGCACGCACACAACCCTACCATCACAGTGGCGTGTCCAGCCAGCGTCTTGGGGTCCATGACGAAGAGGATGACCTTGATGAAGCTGAGCGCTGCTTTGACAATCTCCCTGGTCCGAGACGTCAGCAGCAGACACACGTTGTGTAGGAGGTGCTCCATCGATCCCATGTCTATAGAGTCTGACACGCACACAAACAAACAAACGTTGTAACAGCTGCTCCAGCGATGGAATCAGCTAGAGCAGGGGTGTCAAACTCATTCCACGGAGGGCTGAGTGTCTACGGGTTTTTGCTCCTCCCATGTACTAGATTGATCAATTAAGGTCAATGATTAGTTAGGAAGTCCCCTCATCTGGTTGTCTACGTCTTAATTGGATACAAATTGAAAGGAAAGAACAAATACCCGCAGACACTCGGCCCTCTATGAAACGAGTTTGACACCCCTGAACTAGAGGGGAGATAAACACACACCTTAAACAGTTTGCGAGTGTAAGGGCAATAGAGTTGGTTTACCTTTGTACTCAAAGACCAGTCTGGTGAGAGCCAGGACTGTACACGTGATCATCGTGACAGAGCCGGTCAGCCCCACGTACACCAACAGTAGGTACTGCTCCAAGGCTTCTACAGAGAGACAGGGACAGAAGGATCGGGAGTAACTCTCCATGATAGTAAGAATCTAGAGGATATGTAAGCCTAACCAAAGCCTCTGGTCGAGTAATCCTTACCTTTGGCATCTCCACAGAACCTGATAAAGGCGTTTCCTATCTCCACCAGTAGAGTGTAGGCATTCTTTCGAGCTCCTACTGACACCTCTTTAGTACATATGATCACCTAGGAGAGAGTTATAGAACAGTGTAAGTGTGCGAGTGCTAACGTGAGTACGTGTACGTGTGTGCGCATGCGTATACCTCTGGTAGCAGGGCAGTGATGAAGTCTCTGTGTTCTTCACTCAGCTGCTTCACAATGTGGATCAGACACTTTAGTCTGGGCTGAGAGAGGAAAAGGGAAGGAAAGAGGGAGAGTTAGACAAAATGAAGCTGGTTGAGCTATCCTTGCACTCAGTAAGGTCGAGGAACGCACACACACACACGTCTTACCCTCTTGGCTGGAGAGGACGCATTCTTTAGTGTCCCCAGCAGAACGTGTTTGAGCGTCTCTAGGTGAGAGAGAACGAAAGATCTACACTCCTCCCTCTCTCCACCGCACATCTCCTCCAACACGCGGTACGCCTTCTTCTGCATGTGTGGCTCCTTATTCTACACACAAAATCAGAAAGGGAAAGATGTATGAGCTGTGAGAAAATTGTTATGCAACTCCTGGTAATCTAAACAATATATTATGCACTTTTAAAAGTGATGTGTTTAGTATTTAGAACAATATGGCTGGTTTTGAAAACATCTCCACATCCTTGCGCAGTCAAAATGTTGTGTCCTAACCTCCAGGTATGGCCGAATCAACTCAAAGGTCTGACTCATGGTGACCTCATCTACACAGGGTGCCATGGCAACCATCAGGTCCATGACCGACAACCTGGGGGGGGGGGGACAGATGTAAGATTCAGAAACTTTTTGCAATGTTGATAGGAATTTGTCTTGGCATTGTACATTAATGTAATTGGCAATTCAATTGTAATACAGAAATGTAATCATGTAATTCACACCAAACACAACTAACTAAGCATATTCCTACCGTATGAACTCAGTGCTGTCTGGGCTGCTGAGTCTTTCTGTAGCTTTTGACAGGAAGGTACACACCATCTGAGAGATATACAACATTACACCACCAGGGGGAGACAAAACATACATTTCTGTTAGGCATTTTTGTTGAGGCATGGTGTGTGTAAATGAATGAGCATGAAAGAGGCTCTCTCAATTAGTATTTCCTACATTCCTTGCATCTTCTCTACTCGCCTTCTCAAAACTCAGGGGAGGAGAAGTCAGAGGAGAGGAATTGTGGATCTTGTCCTCCATTGCGTTTTGGAGAAGGTGAGGAAAGCAGAAAAATAATTGTTTTATTATTATTATTATTAAGGAGCCAGAGTGTGTACCTGTGGGTCTGTGACAGTCAGGTAGACTTTAATGGTGTCTAGGACAGCCATCCTGTAGGGGGCAATGTCTCCAGGAGCAGGCTGCTGACTGAACACGTTGAACAGGATAGGCAGGAAGTTCTTAGCAAAACGCCCCACCTCCACCTTCTCCTCTTCTACAGGGGGCAACATAGCAGAGGAGGGTTTAGTGTTTAGTGACTGACCTACATAGCCTGTGTGTGTGTGTAATAGAGGAGGTTCTGTGAACCATCATTACATTTACATTTTAGTCATTTAGCAGACGCTCTTATCCAGAGCGACTTACATTATCTTTTTATTTTTCATACTGGCCCCGCGTGGGAATCGAACCCACAACCCTGGCGTTGCAAACGCCATGCTCTACATCCCTGCCGGCCATTCCCTCCCCTACCCTGGACGACGCTGGGCCAATTGTGCGCCGCCCCATGGGTCTCCCGGTCGTGGCCGGCTACGACAGAGCCTGGATCATCATCATCACGTGATGAGCAACTTGAAGAGCTAATGCCTAGGCTTTAAGTCCAGTGGACTAATGCGGTTTTGAGCCATGCAGATAACCTTGGTTCAATACCTGGTTAGTTCATGCATGTGCAAGTGTGTGCATGTTTGTGTGTGCATGTTTGTGTGTGTGTACCGGTGTTACAGCTTTTGGTGATGAGTGTGCGTATGGCCTGGCAGATGGTCAGTCGTAGGTCGGGCCGTTCGTTGATGGCCATGCCCAGTGCCCTTGCTACGCCTTTAAATGACACCAGCAGGTCCAAGGGACCCACACAGAACCCTGGCAGCATGGTCCAGATCTGACGAGAGCAGAAACACACAACACCAGTGAGTACGGTCCAGAAATGGAAACACTATCACAGAACACACAATATCACAGGGAGAAATGAAACACTTTATAAAAAATAGTGAATAATTATCATGGTGCAGATGTGACAGGGATGCACACACACCTCAGTATTAGAACACCGAAGGCCATACAAATTGTATTAAATGTCTGTTTTTGTTTGGTGAGGTGAGCGAATAAAATACAACTTTCTAGTCAAAATCTAGCAACCTAATCAAGAGATTTGAGCCTTGGGGCGGCAGGTAACTTAGTGGTTAAGAGCGTTGTGCCAGTAACCGAAAGGTCGCTGGTTCTAATCCCCGAGCTGACTAGGTGAAAAAGCTGTCGATGTGCCCTTGAGCAAGGCACTTAACCCTAATTGCTCCTGTAAGTCGCTCTGGATAAGAGCGTCTGCTAAATAACTAAAATGTAAATGTAAGAGGCATAGTTCAGCCACAATCTGAGAAGGTTCTGTATCACTTTACTGAAAAATGAGGGGCATCTGTTAAACATGTCATTAAATGTGTATGGCCAAAGTAGGAATAGTACAGCTATGACAGGAAGTACACAATAGATTTGACAGGGATGCAAGGAGAGAGACAACACCTGAGTCTGGTAGATATGTAAGGGATAAACACGGACACTTGACATAGCCGCCACTACTCTCCCTATTGTTATTCTTTGCTCATTGTACCCAGATATCTATGCATCATCTCTGCACATTTAGCCATGTATACTACGTTAATGATTTGCACATAGCCTATTATGGCTTCTCCATTGCATGCACAACTTTAATATGATTTGTTGTATTTGCTTTGTTTTGTTTACCCCTTGTAACTCTGTGTTGTGTTTTTATCGACCTATGCTTAGTTGCCAGTCGCAGTTGTAAATGAGAATTGTTCTCAACTGTTTACTGGTAAATAGTTACATAAATAATAATAAAGATCATCTGGAATAATGGCGAGCGGAGGAGTCCAGATCATTTTGAGCGGGCTTTATCCACAGACAAAGAAACAATACAAAGCACAAATTTACGTCAATGAATGTTTCATCGTATTTTTAGTTTGTAGTAATTCATACCATTTCATCTAAACCTGGTTGTTCATTCCATCGGTTAGGTTGCTAGAGAAGCGGACTGGTCGTTTGTTATTTTGGTAAGGTTGCTAGAGACGTGCACCAGTAGTTCATTCTATTTGTTCGATTGCTATGCAAACGGGAAACATTTTTATCCATTGCCTTCTAGCTAGCCAACTACGGCTAACGCAGTCACGTCAAACAGTGACGCTAGATTAACAGCATTTGCTTAAGCGGTTTTCTAGTGACATTTATTTGGATACATCCATAACAAGTAGCCTATGCTGATGATGCACGATTCCGCCTGGCACAGAAAAAGTAGCTGTCTCGTCAGGAGTCAGGACACTGTTCATTACAGTACATCGCATTGCAAATCAAACACTGGGCTAGAAGCTAGCAAAATTGTTTGTTGCTAGCAAATCTACCAATATGACAACCAAATTCAACAATACCAGTTACTGAAAACAGCTGGTCAAACGAAAAAACATGTTGGAGTATAATAGCACGAGCATCACTTGCATCATGACTGCTCCATAGTAAAAGAGAGACCGGAGAAATTAATGTTCAAAGCTCACTACCTTAAGTCATCAGATGCTGTAAAAAATAAGTCACTAAAAACAAATCAATGCTTTTTCGTTGTTGGACCTGCGTTTCCAATGTATCCATTTTCAGTTTGTGTAGTTGTTGGATTAGCTTTCTGCAACTTCGTAGCAAGTAAGGTCTGCATGGTGGAGTGATTTAGAACAGTAAAAAGGTGCCTATTGTTGGAACTACTTCAGAGATGTCCAATATCTTTTCCAACATCTGGTATTAATGCCCACTCTAGAATCCCTTTCTAGCCAATCAGAATCGAGTATTCAACAACGCCGTGGTATAAATGACAGATAAGACGAAACGCCCTCACAGTATGGAGACCTAATCTAGGTTTCTTACCTGCAGCTGGAGAGTCTTGTAGACTTTAGCCTCTAGTTTCTGTCCAGCCTTCTCCAGGTCCTCAGCTACAACACACAGACAGGCATAGAAATGAGCGATACATTGTTTACGCTTACACCCATTCACACACACTAACCATTATTTACCTCTCTGTCGGAGCGTGGCAGCGAGCGGCAGGAGATATGCTGTGTAGTAAGCCAGGTGCGTGTTCTTAACGTGATCACGTATGACGGGGATCAACCAACTACGAGGGAACTCCAGATTGTCTCTGCCAACACACACACACACACAATTATTAAACTGGTCAACTATGAAAACACACAATCCAAATGAACCTTCAAAAAAACTAATTAATACAATCCACTAAAGTAATAAACAGCTGTAACTTTTAGTAACAAACAGTAATAACAGTAGCTAGTAGCAGACGTACTCCAGTCCAGTGATGTTGAGTGGTACAGCGGTCAGCAGTACTTCAGGTCCCATGCTCTCTACAGCACCACCTACTGCCAGGTCCAGCTCACCACAGAACGGGAACCGAGGGGTGGAGCGCAGGTCCGCTAGAGACTGGAGAGACTGGGAGAAACACAAAGTTCAAATGATTGTCCAGTTCCAACTTCCATAACAAGTGGTAAGTATTTGGGCATGACAAAGCCACTTTGTGTGTATGTTAACTTGGTCCTGTCGGGGTGTGTGTTACCTTGGTCATGACGGGGTGAGTGTGTTTCCCTGCTGCTCTGTAGAAGCAGCCCAGCACCTGCAGAACGAACGGCCAGGAGGCGTGGAAGCGATACGACAGACCCTCCTCCACGATACTACAATACACAGAGAGGCAGCTTAAAACTGGATATCAAACAAATATGTATATCTATATATAAACTCCTAATTATGCCTTGACCCCTGTGTGAGTCAGTGAGTGAGAGCGATATCGAATTTGTTTTAGCGCGATGTTCCAAATGCCTGTATCGCAAGAATCAAGGTTGTTGTTTTTGTCTTGTCTCCTTCGGTGCACCTTCCCACTAGCAGACACCGAGCCCCTCCCCCTGCCACTCACAACAAAGAGACGAAAGATCACTTCTTCCTCTGTTTCCACTCGCTATTTGCATTTGAGGCTTGGTCCGACATAAAAATCGGTCACATGGACACCGAAACACATTGGAGACATTATTTTACTGTAATAGAGGAAAACTTGACCTATGTAACAATATCCTTTTTATGTATCAACTCCCAAAATGTAGAACTGAGCAGAGTCTACTAAGACGGGAGTATCAATGAACATGATTGCGGAAAATCAATCCTCAATTTCTGTCGCGCGCGCGGTAGTCTGTGTTTTATAAATGTGCATAAAAATATGTATTTGTATAAGAAATTGGCAACTTATCCAGGTAGGCCATTTGATTTCAACATCTAAACAAAGTGAACCCCGGAATGGCGTGTCTAGAGTTGGAGACAGGCGAGGGTGTATTTTATAGCATGCGTCAACCGGTTGTGGTTCGATTCACTTGTTAGAACAAATATGATGCCAATGTGTGCTCTGTAGACTTAAATATTAAAGATTAAGATGGTCTCACATGGAGCTGTCTGGAGAGATTGTTGTGTCAACTGTTCTATTTTATAGCGCCTAGTCCAAGTTGGTCGATTATTAGATAGTGCTTATGGGTTCTAGAGTTACACTTGTAACAAAAATGTCATTTTCATAGACAGACTTAAAAACTAGATCAGTGACTATTGCAAAAAAAATAAACAGGTTAAACTATTTTGATATAATAATTACATTATTAGTGGGTCTTATGGTTGAAGTCTTATATTTAGCCTGGGTATAACTTCACAAGCCCTGAATTCATTAGATTATTCCCAAAATACCTTTAAATTGTGCAACAAAGCGCATTTAGCCACAAAAAAAGAGATACCGTCGCCCATAAATTAGTAAAAAATAATTGAGAAATGATTTTTTTAGGCCATATCACCCAGCCCTACTGAGCGAGCGCGAGAGAGAGCAAGCGCACTATCCCTAGGTGAGTGTGTGTGTGTGTGTTCTCACCGGAACATCTTGCAGACGTAGGAAGGGTTTCCAGAGGAAGCGGTGGGGCTGACGGGGCCGATCTCCTCCATGCGAGGAGCCACACACTCCGACAGCAGAGTCTACAGCATACACGCACAGTTAGGGCCACTTAACAGGGTAGGTGTAAAGAAAGTGGTGAGCTTGAAGTGTGTTACCTTGAGTGTATTGGTGGCAGCAGAGACGACCTGTGTGTGAGGTGACAGGAGGCAGGACATGGCCGTGGAGAAGAGACGAGGGAGATGCCCCAGACTTAGAGACGACTGAACACTGAAGAGAGAGAGAGAGAGAGAGAGAGAGAGAGAGAGAGAGAGGTGAGAGCGTGAACATTCAGTTAATTAAAAATAAGAATTCGTCTTTACTGCTGCAGGGGTAGTGTACTCTGGTGTAGTGTACACTCCTGGGTGCAGTACGCTACCTGGCCAGGTGAACGTGGGCTTTCTCCATGACAGCCAGCCAGGCTAGTAGAGGCTGCAAGTCATTCTCACTGGGCAGGTAGTCATACAGGGCCTGAACAGAGAGAGAACATAATACTGTTAACCCATGAAACCCTTTTCAGCACAGGTTTACAGTGTAATGGGGGTATGAATATGTGGTGGTGTTTTTGGACCCCAGGCTGTGACTTTAGCTTTGTGACCTTACCGTGATAATCTGAGCGTTGAGTTCAGCAGACAGGGTAGCAGGGTTGGGTTTCCCACTGAACAGCTTATGGAAGACCTGCATGGCACATGCTGTCACCAACTAGAGAGAGAGAAAGCGGGGAGAGGTCAATTTGGGAAGGTGTGTGTGTGTGTGTGTGTGTGTGTGTGTGTGTGTGTGTGTTCTCACCACGTGGCTGAGGGTCATCACCCTGAGCAGAGTCTCACAGCAGGACTTGACGGCATTGAGAGGGAAGGTGACCATGAGGTCCTTCAGGAGGCCCAGGACGTGCAGGGTGGTGGTGTCCTCCTTACTGCCTGAATAAAAAAAACAAATACAGAGAAGCTTAATTCAAGGGTAATGTAGGGGAGATTTGAGTCCTCTAGCTTGGTTTCAGACCTTCTTAAAGACAGTGTTGCAGTAGCATAATCACAAGCTGCAAGCCCTGTCAGTCAAAGCTTTGAGAGTACGGAGTTAAAACAACGGACCTCATAACAAATACAAATTATAGACGTAAATCGTTGCCTCTATGCGTTCAAATAAAAACACGGACCAAAAAAATTATTTAAAAGGTTGGGGGTTGTACCTCCTGCCTGTTCGATCTCTTTGATGCAGAACTTGGCGGCTGTCGCAGCAGCCGGGTGGTGGGTCGGGGCGTTGTCTGTAAACAGTAAGTCACCGCCTCTCAGGATGGAACAAACACCATGCTGCGCTGCTTTACGGATCTGAGGTGGAGAGTGTAAACTATTTAGTACCACATTTTTGTGAATATAAAGTACTGTGTGTGCGTCCGTGTGCATACCTTGGGCTTGCTGTGGACAGTGAAGCTGAGTAGACCGTGGTATGTCTGCAGAGTAGACGGGTAACTCCACACTGTAACATCCTGCTTCCTCAAAAGAGTGGAGAGGCACGACAGGATCTGGAGAAAGAAAACAGACATGTTGAAAACTTTATTTGAATCCATGTTAAAAAAAAGGTACCCGCCGGCCGGACACACACACACTCACCCATCTGAGTGCGGAGGCGGATTCTGAGCTGGCCAGGGTGGACATGACGTCCATCAGAGCTTTGGCCGTGTCGGAGAACTTAGACATCAACACTGGTGCTGGAACACTGAGGGACACAACATACACATTCAAATCACTTATCAAATGCTTCAACAAATAGACCAAAGTCAGAAGGCAGGTTTCCATTGACCCAGGTTTATTTGACAAAAGCAATGTTGCAAATAATATCATTGCGACACATGTAATGGAAACGGCAGATAGGAGACATTTTCTAAAGATCGACAACATTTTATCCGTTCGACGGGTGGATTTTTATTTTGTCTAACTTTATTGCGTCAAATTATGGAAACTGTGTTTTTCTAATAAATGATTGCCGAATACTTTTGAAGGTACGCGGTGATGTCATTACTTAACTATAAGCTGCAATTTTTATAAATACATTCTATAAAAATGTCTCTGTCCAGGACAGGGATTGTCCTGACTTTCAATGCCTGAATTGCTTCGCCTTGCTTGGTTGGCAAGTTTCATCATCCAATTATTTCAGAACTACAGGAGTGCAAGTTTCACCATGGCACAGAGCGTGACAATACGCTGGCACCTGAGAATTATTAGAATATGGCAAATATTAGTCAATTATTGCATTCTATCCATGCTGGCTTTCGTGGGCTACCTGAGACATGAAACAGATAGGTGGTAGGGCATACAGGCTGTCGCCAATTTGTTAATGAGCAATTTGTCTAAATGGCTAATGGAAACACTTCAACCACTACATTGATTTTAAATTTTTTTACCCCCCTTTTCTCCCCAATTTTTTTCGATCGTCTCATCGCTGCAATTCCCCAATGGGCTCGGGAGAGGCGAAGGTGGAGTCATGCGTCCTCCGAAACATGACGCGCCCCTTAACACCCGCCAGCTTAACCCGGAAGCCAGTCGCACCAATGAGTCGGAGGAAACACCGTTCAACTGGCAACCGGGGCCAGTCTGCAGGCACCCGGCCCGCCCTCAAACCATCCCCTAACCCTGACGACGCTGGGCCAATTGTGCGGCATCCAATGGGACTCCAGCCCATGGCCGGTTGTGGCATAGCCTGGGAATTTACCCGGGTCTGTAGTAACGCCTCTAGCACTGCAATGCCTTAGACCTCTGCGCCACTCAGGGAGGCCCCAACAACTACATTTTTTTATCGACACAACACGCAACAACTTCAACGATTTTACTGAGTTATAGTTCATATAAGGAAATCAGTCAATTGAAATACATTCATTAGGTCCTAATCTATGGGTGGGCCATCGAGGGCATAGACCCACCCACTGGGGAGCCAGGCCCAGCCAAACAGAATTAGTATTTCCCCACAAAAGGGCTTCATTACAGTTCCATCAGCTGTCCGGGTGGCTGGTCTCAGACGATCCCGCAGGTGAAGAAGCCGAATGTGGAGGTCCTGGGCTGGCGTGGTTACACGTGGTCTGCGATTGTGAGGCCGGTGGACATACTGGCAAATTCTCTAAAACAACGTTGGAGGCGGCTTATGGTAGAGAAATGAACATTGAATTCTCTGGCAACAGCTCTGGTGGACATTCCTGCAGTCGGCATGCCAATTGCACACTCCCTCAAAACTTCAGACATCTGTGGCATTGTGTTGTGTGACAAAAGTGCACATTTTAGAGTGAGTGGCCTTTTATTGTCCCCAGCACAAGGTGCACCTGTGTAATGATCATGCTGTTTAATCAGCTTCTTGATATGCCACACCTGTCAGTTGGATGGATTATCTTGGCAAAGGAGAAATGCTCACTAACAGGGATGTAAACAAATTTGTGCACAACATTTTAGAGAAATAAGCTCTTTTTTTTTTGCATATGGAACATTTCTGGGATGTTTTATTTCAGCTCATGAAACATTGGACCAACACTTTATATTTTTGTTCAGTATAAATGGAAACACACCCTAGCAGGCAATTGTCGCATCTATTTTCTAAATGTCGACAAAAAAAGAAAAATCACTGGACAAGTTAAAAGAAACATAGCTAGTGACCACAGTTAGCATGGGTGAGAACTGTGATAAACTGTGGGACTAACCGTTTCATAACCAGGTTGAGGAGGTAGGCTACAGCAGCCAGAGACTCCCCTGAATCCACTGCCTCCAGGGTGGTCATCTGAAACCAGAGAGAGAGAGACAGACACACACACAAGTTTAGTGAAACAGTCTGAAAACATCCAACTATTTTTCTCCTGGTTAGCCCAGAGTATTGTCCACTGTATGTATGAATTCTGATAGACTTCAATGCAGGGGCAGAAAGCAACATAGATTAACATTCATCTTACTATGCCTCCAGTTCTTACGCACTTGCAAGCATCCAATGCAATTGCACCTTTGTAGAAGGGTCATTCCTCTAGTAATATTGAAAATATGATAGACAGGCATAAGCAGTAATTAGGCCCTACTCACCAGAGCTGCAAAGTACTCTGTTTCAGTCTCCTTCCCTCCCTGAGATCGAATCACATCAGTCACCGCAGCCAGCACCGCACAAATCTATGGGACGAGACAGATACGAATAGTGGATATCTTTGGCAAGTTACTGGTTTAGACCCCATGCAGCTGAGAGGTTAACATAACATGAATACTATAATACAACAGTCATACACAGTTGATGTTAGCTTACGTTATAACATACAGCGCATTCGGAAAGTATTCAGACCCCTTGACTTTTTCCACATTGTTACGTTACAGCCTTTTCTAAAATTGGTTAAATTATTTTTTCCCTCATCAATCTACACACAATACCCCATCATGACAAAGTGAAAACTAGTTTAGAAATGTTTGCAAATGTATTAAAAACATTAACACCTTATTTACATAAGTATTCAGACCCTTTGCTACGAGACACGAAATTGAGCTCAGGTGCATCCTGTTTCCATTGATCACCCTTGAGATGTTTGTACAACTTGATTGGAGTCCACCAGTGGTAAATTCAATTGATTGGAAATGATTTGGAAAGGCACACACCTGTCTATATAAAGGTCCCACAGTTGACAGTGCATGTCAGAGCAAAAACCAAGCCATGAGGTCGAAGGAATTGTCCGTAGAGCTCCGAGACAGGATTGTGTCGAGGCACAGATCTGGGGAAGGGTACCAAAACATTTCTGCAGCATTGAAGGTCCCCAAGAACATAGTGGCCTCCATCATTCTTAAATGGAAGAAGTTTAGAACCACCAAGACTCTTCCTAGAGCTGGCCGCACGGCCAAACTGAGCAATCGGGGGAGAAGGGCCTTGGTCAGGGAGGTGACCAAGAACCTGATGGTCACTGACAGAGCTCCAGAGTTCCTCTGTGGAGATGTGAGAACCTTCCAGAAGGACAACAATCTCTGCAGCATTCCACCAATCAGGCCTTTATGATAGAGTGGCCAGACGGAAGCCACTCCTCAGTAAAAGGCACATGACAGCCCACTTGGAGTTTGCCAAAAGGCACCTAAAGGACTCCCAGACTATGAGAAACAAGATTCTCTGGTCTGATGAAACCAAGATTGAACTCTTTGGACTGAATGCCAAGCGGAAACCTGGCACCATTGCTACGGTGAAGCATGGTGGTGGCAGCATCATGCTGTGGGGATGTTTTTCAGCGGCAGGGAATGGGAGACTAGTCAGGATCGAGGAAAAGATGAACGGAGCAAAGTACAGAGAGATCCTTGATGAAAACCTGCTCCAGAGTGCTCAGGACCTCTGACTGGGGTGAAGGTTAATCTTCCAACAGGACAACGACCCTAAGCACACAGCCAAGACAACGCAGGAGTGTCTTCGGGACAAGTCTCTGAATGTCCCTGAGTGGCCCAGCCAGAGCCCGGACTTGAACCCGATCGAACATCTCTGGAGAGACCTGAAAATAGCTGTCCAGTGACGCTTCCCATCCAACCTGACAGAGCTTGAGGGGATCTTCAGAGAAGAATGGGAGAAAGTCCCCAAATACAGGTGTGCCAAGCTTGTAGTGTCATACCCAATAAGACTTGATGCTGTAATGGCTGCCAAAGGTGATTCAAGAAAGTACTGAGTAAAGGGTCTGAATACTTATGTAAATGAAATTTCAGTTTATTATTTGAAATACATTTGTCATTATGGGGTAGTGTGTAGATTGATGCGGGGGGGAAAAACAAATGAATCATTTTTAGAATAAGGCTGTGGCGAAACAAAATGTGGAAAAAGTCAAGGGGTCTGAATACTTTCCCGAATGCACTGTACGTACACTGTCGTTACCAGTTCACTTGGAGAAGTGTACAGTCCCCGCGAGTTACATACCTCTTTATGGGCAGCTGAGTTGGACTCCCAGAAGCGCTGCACCTTTCTGAAGGTGAGGTTTGAGCAGTCTGACAACCCGCTGAGGAAGGTCCCTGCGCTCCTATCAGAAAGGGCATGCTCTGCTGTCTCCTCCATACAGGCATCTCCCTGGCCAAACGCACCCCTCTCCAGGGTTCCTGCCTGCAGCTCGTTGTGCAGTTTGAGCGCATCTACTGTCAGGTCACTCTTCTCTGGAGAGTGCAGAGAAGATATCAGTATCTAAGGGTCATGTACTACTGACTGACATTCGGTAATCTTAGTGGATGATGGTTGAAAAATTGGTAATACAATGAAATTCAAAAAAAATTGTAGATTTAGACCACGGTTTCTTAAACTATGCGTCGGGACCCAAAGTGGGCCCTGGGCATGTGAGGTGGGAATGAGTTATGAGAATACATCTATAATCACTCACAATGTATTCTTAATTTGGTCACGGGAGGGATGTACAATAAATTGTTGTTTTGGGATCGAATGTTTACAAATATTTTATGAAATAATCTATTGTACAAACAAAACTTCCTAGGTCACGATTCCCCAACCATCAAACAGTCCAAAGCCCGTAGTATAGGATTGTGTAAATTAGAACAACTGTGGTTGGCACTAGGCTAGTTGGAGCTAGCATGTGGCTCATATATGTCAGCATAGCTAGTTAGTTGTATTAACACCGCAAAGAGAAGGAAATCAAACGACATTGACAAGTTTCCAGAAAGTTAGCAACGTTACAAAAGTTGAAAACAGTAGCTAGCCTTTCTTTGTTTAGAAAATGTGTACTGCAGACAGCTTGCTAACTTCGCTGGCTGGCTGACTTTTCCACGTGTGACTTTCCATCTCGTCTCAGGCCGAACACGCTGCAAATACTTACCGGAGGGGCGGCTGAAGAAACGGCTTCTGGCAGCCTGTCTGAATCGGCTCGTCTGGGGGTTCGAGTCGCTGCTGTGTCCTTTTTTCCATCGCTTCAGTTTCGATGCGGCCCCAGATTTTAATTTTCCAGATTTCACCATATTTTCAGATAATACAAATCACGCTGGCTCAGCCAAACATCTGTCGCAAATGGCTATGTCGCTCTCCTGATGACGTAACAGGGATACACTCACCCGAGTCTTCTTCTTCTTCTTCTTCTATGGGTTTAATGGCAGACTACAACCCAAAAAGGTGTATTACCGCCACAATCTAGACGGGGTTGAAAAAAACAAGGTAAAAATAAAACCCATACGTGACAGTGAAAACTAACTTAATCCACCCAAAATAAAACAATAAAAAACCACCTTCAAATCTCCCTTCTCAGGCTCTAAGGCCTGAGAGGGTGGTACGGCTTGTGACATTACTCCATGCAACTCCTCTGCCGAGAAGTCTTTCAGTCCCAGGAACCGATCCGCCGCATCCACAATTATATATATTTTCCTGGACTTCCTCTCCACCTTGGCAGTGCCATTAATCACCATAGGCTAGTTAAGGATCATATCACCTCCAATTTACCTGACACCCTAGACCCACTTCAATTTGCATACCGCCCCAATAGATCCACAGACGATGCAATTGCCAGTTCACTACACACTGCCCTATCCCACCTGGACAAGAGGAATACCTATGTAAGAATGCTGTTCATTTACTACAGCTCTGCCTTCAAAACCATAGTACCCTCCAAGCTCATCATTAAGCTCGGGGCCCTGGGTCTGAATCCCGCACTGTGCAACTGGGTCCTGGACTTCCTGACGGGCTGCCCTCAGGTGGTGAAGGTAGGAAAAAACACCTCCACCACGCTCATCCTCAACACAGGGGCCCAACAAGGTAGCGTCCTCCTGTACTCCCTGTTCACCCATGACGGTGTGGCCAAGCACGCATCCAACTCAATCATCAAGTTTGCAGATGACACAACAGTAGTAGGCCTGATTACCAACAATGACGAGACAGCCTACCGGGAGGAGGTGAGGGCCTTGGCGGAATGGTGCCAGGAAAATAACCTCTCTCTCAACGTCAACAAAACTAAGGAGCTGATCGTGGACACAGACAGTGTGATGAAGAAGGCGCAACAGCGCCTCTTCAACCTCAGGAGGCTGAAGAAATTCGGCTTGGCCCTAAGACCCTCAAACTTTTACAGATGCACCATTGAAAACATCCTGTCGGGCTGTATCACCGCCAAGTACGGCAACTGCACCGCCCGCAACCGCAGGGCTCTCCAGAGGGTGGTGTGGTCTGCCCATAACGCATCACCAGGGGCACACTGCCTGCCCTCCAGGACACCTACAGCACCTGATGTCACAGGAAGGCCAAAAAGATCATCAAGGACATCAACCACCTGAGCCACGGCCTGTTCACCCCGCTATCATCCAGAAGGTGAGGTCAGTACAAGTGCATCAAAGCTGGGAACGAGAGACTGAAAAACAGTTTCTATCTCAAGGCCATCAGACTGTTAAATAGCCATCACTAGCCGGCCTCCACCCAGTACCCTGCCCTGAACTTAGTCACTGTCATTAGCCGGCTACCACCCGGTTACTCAACCCTGCAATTTAGAGGCTGCTGCTCTATGTACATAGACATGGAATCACTGGTCACTTTAATAATGGAACGCTTGTCACTTTAATTATGGTTACATACTGTTTTACTAATTTCATATGTATATACCGTATTCTAGTCAATGCCATCCTATTCAACTATTGCTGTATACTTGGCCTGTCCCCGACTAAAAAAAATCTTGGTCGACCAAAAGTCGTCTGTTCTTTCGACCAATCGATTGGTCTACATTCTTTAACTGTATATTCCATAAATAGACACACCCTATGTGGTTTAATAAGACAAATGCCTCAAGAGGGCGCCAGAGATTTACATTTACGTCATTTAGCAGAAGCTCTTATCCAGAACGACTTACAAATTGAGATCTAGATAACCAGAAGAAAACAACTTAACTTAACAACATAACTTATTTCAAAAAATTCTAAAAAATATATAACGGAAAAGTGGTGAGTGCATATGTATTCACCCCCTTTGCTATGAAGCCCCTAAATAAGATCTGGTACAACCAATTACCTACAGAAGTCACAAAATTAGTTAAATAAAGTCCACCTCTGTGCAATCTAAGTGTTACATGATCTGTCACATGATCTCAGTATATATACACCTGTTCTGAAAGGCCCCAGAGTCTGCAACACCACTAAGCAAGGGGCACCACCAAGCAAGCGGCACCATGAAGACCAAGGAGCTCTCCAAAAAGGTCAGGGACAAAGTTGTGGAGAAGTACACATCAGGGTTGGGTTATAAAAAAATATCAGAAACTTTGAACATCCCACGGAGCACCATTAAATCCATTATTCAAAAATGGAAAGAATATGGCACCACAACAACCCTGCCAAGAGAGGGCCGCCCACCAAAACTCACGGACCAGGCAAGGAGTGCATTAATCAGAGAGGCAACAACTTTAAGCCGTACACTCCATAGAGCTGGACATTACGGAAGAGTGGCCAGAAAAAAGCCATTGCTTCAAGAAAAAAATAAGCAAACACGTTTGGTGTTCGCCAAAAAGCACGTGGGACACTCCCCAAACATATGGAAGAAGGTACTCTGGTCAGATGAGACTAAAATTTAGCTTTTTGGCCATCAAGGAAAATGCTATGTCTGGTGCAAACCCAACACCTCTCATCACCCCGAGAACACCATCCCCACCGTGAAGCATGGTGGTGGCAGCATTATGCTGTGTTTTTCATCGGCAGGGACTGGGAAACTGGTCAGAATTGAAGGACTGATGGATGGGGCTAAATACAGGGAAATTCTTGAGGGAAACCTGTTTCAGTCTTCCAGAGATTTGAGACTGGGACGGAGGTTCACCTTCCAGCAGGACAATGACCCTAAGCATACTGCTAAAGCAACACTCAAGTTGTTTAAGGGGAAACATTTAAATGTCTTGGAATGGCCTAGTCAAAGCCCAGACCTCAATCCAATTGAGAATCTGTTGTATGATTTAAAGATTGCTGTACACCAGCGGAACCTATCCAACTTGAAGGAGCTGGAGCAGTTTTGCCTTGAAGAATGGACAAAAATCCCAGTGGCTAGATGTGCCAAGCTTATAGAGACATACCCCAAGAGACTTGCAGCTGTAATTGCTACAAAAGGTGACTCTACAAAGTATTGCCTTTGGGGGAGGGGGGGGGGGGGGGGGGGGGGGGGGGGGGGGGTGAATAGTTATGCACGCTCAAGTTTTCAGTTTTTTTGTTTTATTTCTTGTTTGTTTCACAATAAAAACATATTTTGCATCTTCAAAGTGGTAGGCATGTTGTGTAAATCAAATGATACAAAACCGCCCCAAAATCATTTTAATTCCAGGTTGTTAGGCAACACAATAGGAAAAATGCCAACAGGGGTGAATACTTTCGCAAGCCACTGTATATATATAAGTTTGGACACACCTACTCATTCAAGGTTTATTTTTTATTTTTAGTTTATTTTATATTGCAGAAAAATAGTGAAGACATCAAAACTATCACATAACACATATGGTATCATGTATTAACCAAAAAAAGTGTTAAACAAATCAAAATATATTTTTTATATTTGAGATTCTTCAAATAGCCACCCTTCGCCTTGATGACAGCTTTGCACACTCTTGGCATTCTCTCAACCAGCTTCATGAGGTAGTCACCTGGAAAGCATTTCAATGAACAGGTGTGCCATCTCAAAAGTTAATTGGTGGAATGTCTTTCCTTCTTAATGCGTTTGAGCCAATCAGTTGTGTTGTGACAAGGTATGGGGTGTATACAGAAGATAGCCCTATTTTGTAAAAGACCAAGTCAATATTCTGGCAAGAACAGCTCAAATAAGCAAAGAGAAATGACAGTCCATCATTACTTTAAGACATGAAGGTCAGTCAATAGAGAACATTTCAAGAACTTGTAAAGTTTCTTCAAGTGCAGTCGCAAAAATCATAAAGAGCTATGATGAAACTGGCAATCATGAGGACCGCCACAGGAATGGAAGACCCAGAGTTACCTCTGCTGAAAAGGATAAGTTCATTAGATTTACCAGCCTCAGAAATTGCAGCCCAAATAAATGCTTCACAGAGTTCAAGTCACAGACACATCTCAACATCAACTGTTCAGAGGGGACTGTGTGAATCAGGCCTTCATGGTCGAATTGCTGCAAAGAAACCACTACTAAAGGACACCAATAAGAAAAAGAGACCTGCTTGGGCCAAGAAACACGAGCAATGGACATTAGACTGGTGGAAATTTGTCCTTTGGTCTGGAGTCCAAATTGGAGATTTTTGGTTCCAACCGACGTGTCTTTGTGAGACGCGGTGTGGGTGAACGGATTATCTCCTCTTGTAGTTCCCACCGTAAAGCATGGAGGAAGAGGTGTAATAGTGTTGGGGTGCTTTGCTGGTGACACTGTCTGTGATTTATTTAGAATTTAAAGCACACTTAACCAGCATGGCTACCACAGCATTCTGCAGCGATACACCACCCCATCTGGTTTGGGTTTAGTGGGACTATCATTTGTTTTTCAACAGGACAATGACCCAACACACTTCCAGGCTGTGCAAGGGCTATTTTACCTAGAAGGAGAGTGATGGAGTGCTGCATCAGATGACCTGGCTTCCACAATCCCCCTACCTCAACCAAATTGAGATGGATTGGGATGAGTCGGACCGCAGAGTGAAGGAAAAGCAGCCAACAAGTGCTCAGCATATGTGGGAACTCCTTCACGACTGATGGAAAAGCATTCCAGGTGAAGCTGGTTGAGAGAATGCCAAGAGTGTGCAAAGCTGTCATCAAGGCAAAGGGTGGCTATTTGAAGAATCTGAAATATAAATATATTTAGATTTGTTTAACACTTTTTTGGTTACTACATGATTCCGTATGTGTTATTTCATAGTTTTGATGAGTAGGTGTGTCCAAACTTTTGACTGGTACTGTATATATATATATACTGCTCGACTAAAACTATCTCGGTCGTCCAACAACCTAACGACCAAACAATCGACCAGTCAACTAATTGGGGTAAGCTCTAATATATACATTGCATTCGGAAAGTATTCCGACACCTTGACTTTTTCCACATTTTGTTACGTTACAGCCTTATTCTAAAATGTATTAAATCATTTTTTCCCCTCATCAACATTTTAGTCATTTAGCAGACGTTCTTATCCAGAGCGACTTACAGGAGCAATTAGGGTTAAGTGCCTTGCTCAAGGGCACATCGACAGATTTTTCACCTAGTCGGCTCGGGGATTAGAACCAGCGACCTTTCGGTTACTGGCACTACGCTCTTAACCACTAATCTACCTGCCTACACACAATAACCCATATTTTTTTGTACTGTTTCAGTGCATGCATTCAACAAACTTTGGATGAAGACTCCAAAGTTCACTCAAAAAGGCCACCGTTCTGAACTAGGTTTGACTTAGTTTTTGTTTTAATTATTTAAATGTTGTTAATTGTTTTTTAAACTTCCATTGGTTGAAATCTATTGCTCAGTTAGCACTTGGCTCATGTAAATAATTATGTAGTTGCCCCTTTAAACATCCCCATAGTGTTCACATTTCTCTCATGTAAATGTTGTAGCTACAAAAAAAGATTAAATAAACCATTTATTTTTTCTTCATTACCATGCTGATGATTTCAAGTTGTGTTGGATTTATTTTTGATCTGTTAAGACATTGAATACATGTTTAGTAGTATTTTTACTACATTTAATGTTTGTTTTTTTCTCTCTGAGAAGAAATTCATTGAAAGTTATGTGATTTGGTTTATGTAGATACATTTCAATGTTAAAACACAGTAACCAAAAATCTGATCTAATTTGCATATTCATACTGAGTTTGCAGCAAACAGAATGTTCGCCACAAGTTTCCCAGAATTGTTGGCCTGAAGTTCACAAGTTGCCACAAATTTACCGCAACAGTTTGCCACAAAAATAATTTGCATGTGAAAATATGAGCTTGCCGCAAATTTACCGCAACAGTTTGCCACAAAAATAATTTGCATGTGAAAATATGAGCTTGCCGCAAATTTACCGCAACAGTTTGCCACAAAACTAATTTACATGTGAAAATATGACCTTGACAAAGTGCATATAACATCCTTTGATAACTGGTTAGATGTGGTTGTGTATTTCAAAAACTTTAATTTACTTTAATGTAGATGTAAGCTAGGCGTTGATAGAAACTGGCTGACTCATGAAGTGCTAATTTAACGTTAGCAGCTGGTAGGGCTAACGTTAGCAGGCTAGCAACCTTTTCTTTTAAATGTAATTTTTTTTGGGGGGGGTCATTTAGCAGACGCTCTTATCCAGAGCGACTTACAGTTAGTGAGTGCATACATTTTTCATACTGAAGTAACCTTGTAACTGATTTGTAACAATATATTCATAAAGTATTTGCTTGTAAGTTGGCTGACATGAGTGCAAACGTTTTGGTTTAAATTGAAGTTATACATTTGAAGTTACTTCTGTTGGAGTTTAAATTATACAGAACAGGCTGGCTTGCCGGGTCCTCCATATTACGTCACACCCCGCAAATGTTTTTCCGGCATTACATTTACATTTTAGTCATTTAGCAGACGCTCTTATCCAGAGCGACTTACAGTTAGTGAGTGCATACATTATTATTATTATATATATTTTTTATATACTGGCCCTCGTGAGAATCAAACCCACAACCCTGGCGTTGCAAACGCCATGCTCTACCAACTGAGCTACATCCCTGCCGGCCATGCCCTCCCCTACCCTGGACGACGCTGGGCTAATTGTGCGCCGCCCCATGGGTCTCCCATTACTTCGGCATTCTTCGGAATTCAGATCAGTTTTTTTTTAAATTGAAAAGTGAGGTGTAACTTTGCATTGGGACTTTTAATGCGTATTCTAATGCAAATCCATATGTTACATGGGGTTACGTTTATGATACCTACCCTTTAAGTGGATGCTGGGAGAATCTCAATTGGTTTTGCTCACCGCCTGCCTCCTCTCCTCCGTCCTTTCTCCTTGCCTCCTTTTGAAAAAGGTCAAAACTAATCGAGGAGAGGCGGTGAGGAGAGGGAACGTGGAAACAAATGCGCTTGTATGAAATGAGACTCATTTTCCACTTGCGCATTATCAGGCAAATTACGTTTACAGGGGTGGAATCTCTAAATAAATGTGTAAAGTGATACAAATTAATTAAGCTAGTTGTGCAAAACATTTTATAGATAAAAGGATAAGTAGCGTATAGTTTTTAAATGTGTGCATGCTTTTCTCCTTTGAGAAACCAATAGCTGATTCAAAGGGGGTGTGGCGGATTTTAAAACACTTATGAGCTAGCCAGCGAAAGGATACTAATGAATTGACACTCCTCAACCACTCATTGGTTTCCAAGTCACGAAGGAGACATATAAAAATATTTACATGATCAAACAAGTATAGAAACAGTACATACACTTTCTTTGAAAATCTGTAAATATTCTTCTCTCCCATTATGTTAAGATCAGACCATAGATATAGTACAAATAGAATGGCTTTCAGTATAGATAGAGATCCAATAGAAAATTTGTATCGTCAGGCAGGATACTTTCCACAGTCCAAGGTTCCACAAACAAATACAAACTCACAAGGAATGATCTGCAGACAGACAGACGTATGGGAGTAAGTTCTCTTCTCCATATTTACATTTTAGTCATTTAGCAGACGCTCTTATCCAGAGCGACTTACAGTTAGTGAGTGCATACATTTTTTTTTTTCATACTGGCCCCCCGTGGGAAACGAACCCACAACCCTGGCGTTGCAAACGCCATGCTCTACCAACTGAGCTACATCATATGAACTACATATGAGCTACATCAACTGAGCTACATCATATGAACTGCATATGAGCTACATCAACTGAGCTACATCATATGCCATGATTCTCTTCCAGATCAGTCAACAGTTTGTCAGTGCTTTGCCAGGCTATGCAGAATTGGTCTATTTTTAGTCAGTAACAATGTGGGCTCATTAGGAAAATATTGGGAAATACAAAAAAAGGATAAGAAATACAAAATCAAACATAAACTAATTACAACATTTTATACACAAAATTCCATTGCCGCAACCAACAGTTCAGTGTCCTGTCCGCTAGGCGGGAAATGGAAGAAAGTAGTCTTTCCACGTTTCGGACCATCTGAACATGACCAATAACAAACGTTTGTTTTTATTGCAAAATGTTTCGCTACGTTTTCCTACGGTGTGCACTAATGAACATGATCCTGGTGTGCTTGAACTTCCAGAGGAGAGAAACAAGGCCTTAACCAACATTTTCCCATCCTTCTCTGCCTGCACTCCATCCCAGTCTTTCGCCACCCCTCTCTCCGTCCCCCTTTCATCTCAATCCTTTCCTCCTACTCTCCCATCCATCCTTCTCCTCTTTCTCCATTTCTCTCTCTCTCCTCAGTTTTGATATGAGTCTGGTAACTGGTGAGTAGTTGTTGACGATGACCTGGACCACAAAGTCTTTCTGTATCTTGGTGTCCTTGAGTCGGGTCTTGTCTGTGAGCAGTTTCCCTGCAAAGAACCAGCGTTGGTGGGCCGCTTCAATGTCCTCCTGCCCCTCCAGGACTCTCTTCAGCTGGGAAATGGAGTTTGACATGGAGGCGCTTATACGGAGGTCCTTACCTGTGGAGGACAGAGACATTGGTCAATTTACTTCTACAATCAAGGGTCTGTTCAAGAATGGGGAATGGTGTCAACTCTATTCATTATATTTCTTCCTGCAACGTTCGGAATGTTGCCCTCACTGAATGCACCACAGATGTCTAATCTATTTCCAAATATCAGCCATGTGCTGACCCTCCAGATCTCCGTGAGGAATCCCCAGAGAGAAATTCAGCAGATGGAGCAACTCAACGGAAAAAGGGTAGGGTGTAGAGCTGGGATGATAAACCGGAAATTATCGACATCGACCACTTATCGCAGGCATTTTGCTGATATTGTTCCTTTGAAATGAAATATGTTTGCCAATCCGGGTGATTGTTAATGGTACACTTGATGGCTACAACCACCAAAATAGTAGTAGTATTTTAAAGGATAATGAAAAAAAAATAACTGTGTTGCACATTAATGTTATAAACTTATCGTTATATTTATTGTTTTTGCCTCAATTCATGCAATTTATCGCAATATGAATTTTTGTCCATATCGCCCCGCTCTAGTATAGTGTCTCTCTTACCGCATGAGAGGCGAACTCGCAGCTGGAACTCCTCTTTGGGAAAGGTGGGAGGCTTTTTCTGCTCCTTTTGATCTGGAGCTTCGCTGTCATTGGTGCGTTCAGTGATGAGATTGGCGGGAGGGGTTAGAGTGTAAGCAGGAAGCTGATAGTGGTTCCCCAGTTCATCATAACTTTCTGTCAGAGTACCTGAAGAGGACAGATAAAGACACAAAACAAACCTCAGTAGCAGTCCTGACTCAAATTAACCAATAGCCCCTAGGGACCCCTAGACTAAGGGTGGCCAACCCTCCTCCCGGAGCTACAGTCCCCCACTGTGTCCTTGCTGTCTATGTAGCTAAATGCCTGATGTCCTGTCATGCTGCCCAGGACTATTATATAACCACACAGCAGTAATATGGGAGGTTCCACACCACTCTCTCACTTGAATATCTTACCTAGTTATTTATAGATTATCTCATTTTGCTCTTCTGTAACTTTGTCAACTATGTGTGTGTTTTCTATACCTGTTCGCACCTCTCCCTGTAGGTTTCACAGACGCTCCCCACCCCTTGGCTGCAACCCTTTTAATTCCGGGTCTCTGGCAGCGTTTGGAACTGCCGATCTGTGGTCAAGAACGCTGAGTTAATCTCAGCCTATGCTGCCCTTCAGTCCCTTGACTTTCTGGCCCTGACGGAGACATGGATCACCCCAAAGAACACTGCTACTCCAGCTGCTCTTTCTTCATCTGACAATGTTTTCGCTCATAGTCTGAGAGCATCTGGTCGTCGTGGTGGTGGCACAGGGCTACTCATTTCTCCTAAGTGGAGATTTTCTCTTTTCTCCCTCTCTCACCTGTCCATCTCCTCATTTGAATTCCATGCTGTCACTTGTCCACTCAAGCATAACATTATTGTCATCTATCGCCCACCAGGTGCCATTGGAGAATTCCTCAATGAGCTTGACACCTTGATAAGATAATTTCCTGATGATGGCTCACCACTCTTCGTACTTGGCGACTAAAACCTAATGACGTCTGCCTTCGATTAATTTCATTCCAACTCTCTCTTTCCCCTCCTTGCCTCTTTTGACCTCACCCTTTCCCAATCCCCTCCAACTCACAAGGCAGGCAATACGCTTGACCTCATCTTTACCAGAGGCTGCTCGCCTACTAATCTCACTGCAACCCCCCTCCAGGTCTCTGATCACTACTTTGTTTCCTTTTCTGTCTCCCTTTCCTCCAACCCTAACCACTCAGTCCCTTCCCAGATGGTCATGCGCCGTTGCAATCTTTGCTGTCTCTCTCCCACTACTCTCTCCTCTTCTATCCTATCATCTCTCCCTTCTGCTAAATCCTTCTCCCTTCTGTCTCCTGATTCTGCCTCTTCGACCCTACTCTCCTCCCTTTCCGCATCCTATGACTCGCACTGTCCCCTTTCCTCCCGGCCGGCTCGGCCCTCTCCTCTTTCTCCGTGGCTGAGTGACTCATTGCGAGCTTACAGAACAGGGCTGCGGGCAGCTGAGCAGAATTTGCAAACTATACCTCAGGAGGACCTATCATCCTTTCACTCCCTCCTCTCTACCTTCTCTTCCTCTGTATCCACTGCCAAAGCCACTTTCTACCACTCTAAATTTCAAGCTTCTGCCTCTAACCCCAGGAAACTATTTTCCACCTTCTCCTCCCTCCTTAATCCACCCCTCCCTCCTCCCTCTCTGTGGGCGACTTTGTCAACCATTTTGAAAAAAAGGTTGACGACATCCGCTCCTCTTTCACTCAGCCTATTGAGTAGACTGGTCTCACTCAAACAGAACTACCCCACACCTTGACCTCTTTCTACCCTCTCTCTCCAGATGACATCCTGCGACTAGTGAGGTCTGGCCGCCCGACAACCTGCCTGCTCGACCCCATCCCCTCCTCCCTTCTCCAGACCATCTCTGGAGACCTTTTCCAGACCATCTCTGGAGACCTTCTCCCATTCCTCACTTCCCTCCTCAACTCATCCCAGACCACTGGCTGCATCCCCTCTGTCTTCAAAATGGCCCGAGTTGCTCCCCTCCTCAAGAAACAAACACTTGACTCCTCTGACGTCAAAAACTATAGACCTGTATCCCTTCTTTCTTTTCTTTCCAAAACACTTGAGTGTGCTGTCTCTGATCAACTGTCTTGTTATCTCTCTCAGAATGATCTTCTTGACCCTAACCAGTCAGGCTTCAACCGAGACTGCTCTTCTCTGTGTTACAGAGGCTCTCCCCACTGCCAAATTTGACTCTCTCTCCTCTGTTCTCATCCTCCTAGATCTATCCGCTGCCTTTGACACCGTGAACCATCAGATCCTCTTCTCCACCCTCTCAGGGCTGGGCGTCTAAGGCTATGCACACTCTTGGATTGCATCCTACCTGGCAGGTCACTCCTACCAGGTGATGTGGAGATGATCTGTGTCTGCACCACGTACACTCATTACTGGGGTCCCCCAGGGCTCAGTTCTAGGCCCTCTCCTCTTCTCTCTATACACCAAGTGCACTCGGCTCCATCATATCCTCACATGGTCTCTCCTATCATTGCTATGCGGATAACACTCAACTACTTTTCTCCTTCCCCCCTTCTGACATGCAGGTGGCGACACACATCTCTGCGTGCCTGGCAGATATCTCAACTTGGATGTCGGCCCACCACCTCAAGCTCAATCTCGACAAGACGGAACTGCTCTTCCTCCCGGGGAAGGCCTGCCTGCTCAAAGACCTCTCCATCACGGTTGACAACTTCACAGTGTCGCCCTCCCAGACTGCAAAGAACCTTGGCGTGACCCTGGACAACACCCTGTCATTCTCTGCAAACATCAAAGCAGTGACCCGCTCCTGCAGGTTCAAATGCGCCGAATACAACAGGTGTAGACCTTACAGTGAAATGCTTACTTACAAGCCCTTAACCAACAATGCAGTTTTAAGAAAGAATAACTAAAAAAATAAAAATAATAATAAAGTAACAAATAATTAAAGAGAAGCAGTAAAATAACAATAGCAAGGCTATATACAGGGTGTACCGGTACCAAGTCAATGTGCGGGGGCACCGGTTAGTTCATGCTCTACAACATCCGTAGAGTACGACCCTACCTCACACAGCAAGCTGTGCAGGTCCTAATCCTGGCACATGTCCTCTCCCGTCTGGACTACTGCAACTTGCTGTTGGTTGGGCTCCCAGCTTGTGCCATCAAACCCCTGCAACTTATCCAGAACGCTGCAGCCGGCCTAGTTTTCAACCTTCCCAAGTTCTCTGTCACCCCGCTCCTCCGCACACTCCACTGGCTTCCAGTTGAAGCTCGCATCCACTACAAGACCATGGTGCTTACCTACGGAACAGCAAGAGGAACTGCCCCTCCCTACCTTCAGGCTATGCTCAAACCCTACACTCCAACCCGAGCACTCCGTTCTGCCACTTCAGGTCTCTTGGCCCTCCCACCCCTACGGGAGGGCAGCTCCCACTCAGTCCAAGCTCTTCTCTGTCCTGGCACCCCAAGCTTCCCCCTGAAGCTAGGACAGCAGAGTCCCTGCCCATCTTCCGAAAACATCTGAAACCCTACCTTCAAACAGTATCTTAAATAATCCTCCTCCTCACCTCGACCCCACCCACCAATAAAAAAAAACCAGCACTTGCACTTGACCCCCCCCCCCCTTCTAGCTCTGACTCTACTGACAGCTACGTTATTGAGGAAAAATTTACTTTCTATGCCTGTGATATGTGGTTGTCCCACCTAAATATCTTAAGATGAATGCACTAACTGTAAGTCACTCTGGATAAGAGCGTCTGCTAAATTACTAAAATGTAATCTGACAACCACAGAGACACCCATAGCCTGGTGAAAACCAGCCTGATCGCAGTGTTAAGTGAAGCAGAATGCCACATTGAAATATATAAAAAAATATGTACTTTCTATTTCTATGGGTAAGCCATATGTCATGTCATTCAGGCTGGTTCCATCAGGCTTCATCACCCAGGCTATAAGAAGACATGGTGGAGCTGTTACTTTATTGATACCAATCCAAGTGCATATAGGGAGTTTGGGGTCGATTTGGGTTTAGGCATAGGTTAATATATAGCATTATAATGGCCGTCAGGTTGGTGCCAAATGTTATATTAGTTAAACGTTACAAGTTAGTTATTGGTATGAAACCAATGTTGTATATAAACCCTGAATTGCTGATGCTATGTATTGGCCAATGAGAGGCTTTGAAGCCACCGGTCGGCCATATTGGCACTCCAGTGCGGTGATCTGGTACAAAATGCGCAAGGAGGCCAGGGGAAAGGCAGCCTCGCTGTGTGCCTTTCTCCCACCCTCCAAACTCAATGCAATGCAAGGCATTGACATGACAGCTAACAGACGCTGAAAGGCAGGCAGAGAGCTTCGCTGCTTTTCATGTGTCAATATGTCCTATTCATTTTCATTGCACTCAAATAATAAATGAGCATGCGTATTGGCGTGAAAAAGTAATGGGATGGGCAGGAGGATAGGAAGAGCTTGCAAAATGGATGAAATATATTTTTCTCTCACCCATTTACACACAATACCCCATGATGACAAAGTGTTTTGTAAATGAAATACAGAAATATCTAATTTACATAAGTATTCACACCCCTGAGTCAATACTTTGTAGAAGCACTATGGTGCCGATTACAGCTGTTTCTTTTTGGATAAGTCTCTAAGAGCTTTGCACACCTGGATTGTACAATATTTGCCCATTATTCTTTTTAAACTTCTTCAAGCTCTGTCAAGTTGATTGTTGATCATTTCTAGACAGCCATTTTCAAGACTTGCCATAGATTTTCAGGCTGATTTAAGTCAAAACTGTAACTAGGCCACTCAGGAACATTCAATGTCATCTTGGTAAGCAACTCCAGTGTAGATTTGGCCTTGTGCTTTAGGTTATTGTCCTGCTGAAAGGTGAATTTGTCTCCCAGTGTCTTTTGGAAAGCAGACTGAACCAGGTTTTCCTCTAGGATTTTGTCTGTGCTTAGCTCTATTCTGTTTCTTTTTATCCTAAAAAACTCCCTAGTCCTTGCCGATGACAAGCATACCCATAACATGATGCAGCCACCACCATGCTTGAAAAGAGTGGTACTTAGTGATGTGTTGTGTTGGATTTGCCCCAAACATAACAATTTGTATTCAGGACAAAAAGTTCATTTCTTAGACAATTTTTTTGCAGTATTACTTACATGCCTTGTTGCAAACAGGATGCATGTTTTTGAATATTTGTATTCTGTACAGGCTTCCTTCTTTTCACTCTTTCATTTAAGTTAGTATTGTGGAGTAACTACAATGTTGTTGATCCATCCTCAAGTTTCTCATATCACAACAATTAAACTCTGTAACTGTTTTAAAAAATCACCATTGACCTCGTGGTGAAATCCCTGAGCAGTTTCCTTCCTCTCCAGCAACTCAGTTAGGAAGGACGCCTGTATCTTTGTGGTGACTGGGTGTATTGATACAACATCCAAAATTGCAATAACATTGTCATGCTTAAAGGGATATTCAGCGGCTGCTTTTTTTAATTTTTACACATCGGTGCCCTTCTTTGCAAGGCATTGATAAAACTCTTTGGTCTTGAAATCCACTACTCGATTGAGGGATCTTACAGATAATTGTATGTGTAGGATACAGAGTTGGGGTAGTCATTCAAAAATCAAGTTAACCTCTATTATTGAACACGGAATGAGTCCATGCAACTTATTATGCAATTTGTTAAGCACATTTTTACTTCTGAACTATTTAGGCTTGCCATAACAAAGGGGTTGAATACTTATTGACTGAAGACATTTCAGCTTTACATTTTTTATTAATTTCTAAAATGTTCTACAAACAAAATTCTACTTTGACATTATGAGGTATTGTGTGTAGATCAGTGACACCAAATCTCAATTTAATCAATTTTAAATTCAGGCTGAAAAAGTAAAGGGGTGTGAATACTTTCTGAAGGCACTGTAAGGCTTTGCATTTAGGCCAAAAGGTGTGTTCCTTTGCTGTGTTTTTTTGCAGTATTACTTTAGTGCCTTGTCGCATACAAGATGCATGTTTTGGAATATTTATTCGGTGTATTTATATTCTTCTTTTCACTCTGACATTTACGTCATTATTGTTGATGGTCATTAAGCATGGTCATTAACTTGACCATGCTTAAAGAGATAGTCAATGTCAATGTTGTCGATCCATCCTCAGTTTTCTCACAGCCATTGAACACTGAAGCTGTTTTAAAATTTAAAATCCCCAATGGCCTCATGGTAATATCCCTGAGCAGTCTCTTTCCTGTCCTGCAGCTCATCTATGAATATATGCCACTGTGTAGTGGGGGCAGTAACAAGAACTTTCTAAAGAATTATGCTTTAAAGAAAATGTTTCTATATGTTTAGCTCACATAATATCATGTAAAAGTAGGCATTAAGGTATCTGTAATAGAATAGATGTGGCAAAAGCAAATGTAGACATTAATAAATCAATTTCTATAGTTTCCAAAATATTATTTACAGTGGTGGGGAAGTGCCAAGATGGAGGAGCAGTGGCTTGAAAACAGCGCCCCCTGTCAGTCTAGTGTATATATTAATCATTGGACGGAACGTATGAGCTCGTGTGTGCATGCGTGGATCTAACCGTGTGGTAGTGTGATGCAGGCTCCGTCCACTATGGCCTGAGCCAGTTCCACGTCGTTGAGCTCTGCGGCCACTGCTGCCGCTCGGAGCGCGTCCCAAATCTCCTTCCTGCCATCGAAGGCTGGGGCTGTTTCCCAAAACTCATCCCTCTTACTCCTCAGCTGGCCCTCCGTCATAGGGTACTCATTCTTCCATTTAGGACGCTCCTTCTTCAGGGGCTCGTTGCGTCCTGAAGGGACATAAAGATAATGAAATACATCAGTTTGGTTCCCGAAGGTTAGGATATTTTACTCAGTGTTTTGATGTGCATGTACACTGCCATTCCTCTGAATGTCATGTCACAGCACTCATTACAGAGTGTGGCTTGCTAGCTATCATTCCGTCTATGGCATTGTCTATGGCATTATATCAAAACAGGTGCAAAGATTTCATTTCCAAATGCCAGAACTAGCCATTGTTTAATGGTTTATTAGGGGGCATTTCTACAGTGAGCTCCATAATTCATTGGACAGTAACCATTTTTTTGTTATTTTAGTTCTGTACTTGAGTTTGAAAGGATACAATGACAATGAGGGTGAAGTGCAGACTGTCAGCTTTAATTTGAGGGTATTTTCATACATATCGGATGAATCGTTTAGAAATGACAGCACCTTTGGTACATGGTCCCCCATTTTAAGGTACTACAAGTATTTGTTAAATTGGCTTCACAGATGTGTGTCATTAGGCAGGTGTATTAATTTGTGTCGTTAGTGAATGCAGGAGAGCTGTTGATGAATAGTATTGATTCTAGACTTTGCTATTGCCTTTGGAGGTTGTTGTTGGGGTGTGACAACATGAGGAAGACAGCAGTGTCGATGCAAATGAAGCTGGCCGTCATAAGGCTCAGAAATGAAAATCAATCAATCAGGAACATTGCAAAAACCCTGGCCATGCCCAAGTCAACAGTTTGGTTCATCATTAACAAGAAAAAAACAACCGGTGAACTCAATTATGTCAAAAGACCCGGTAGACTGAGGAAGACCACTGTAGTGGATGACCGGTGAGAATACTCTCTATGGTGAAGAAAACCCCCCTGACAACAGCCCAACAGATCAAAAACACTCTCCTGGATGCAGGTGTAGATGTGTCAAAGTCTACCATACGTAGAAGACTACACCAGCAGGACTACAGAGGGTACACTACAAGATGCAAACCACTGATAAGTCTGAAGAACAGAAAGGCGAGATTACAGTTTGCTAAAAAGCACCTAAAAGAGCCCCAAGAGTTCTGGAAAAAAGTATCGTGGACAGATGAGACAAAGATTGACATGTACCAGAGGGATGGAAAGAGGAAAGTGTGGAGAAAAAAAAGAAATTCCCATGATCCAAAGCATACCACCTCATCCGTGGAGGGGGTGTTATGGCTTGGGCCTGTATGGCTGCCAGTGGAACAGGCTCACTTGTCTTTATCGATGATGTGACTGCAGACAGAAGTAGAACAATGAATGAAAGTCTACAGAAATATTTTATCTGCTCAGATAAAACCAAATGCCTCCAAACTCATTGGACGGCACTTCATCATGCAACAAGACAATGACCCTAAACATACTGCTAGAGCAACAAAGGGGTTTTTGATGGCCAAAAAGTGGAAAATCCTTGTCTGGCCGAGTCAATCACCGGATCTGAATCCAATTGAACATGCATTTTACATGCTGAAGAGGAGACTGAAGGCAATAAGTCCCCAAAATAAGCAGGAACTGAAGATGGCTGCACTACAGGCCTGGCAGAGCATCACCAGGGAAGATACTCAGCATCTGGTGATGTCAATGCATCGCAGACTTCAAGCAGTCATTGCATGCAAAGGATATGCGACCAAATATTAACAATGATTACTTTATTCTACATTATGTTAAACTGTCCAATGTTTTTTGATGCCCGAAAATGGGGGGGACCATGTACAAAAGCTTCTATAATTTCTAAACGGTTCATCCGATATGTATGAAAATACCCTCAAATTAAAGCTGACAGTCTACACTCCACCCTCATTGTCATTGTATTCTTTCAAACTCAAAGTGCTAGAATACAGAACCAAAATAACAAAAAAATGGTCACTGTCCAATGAATTATGGAGCTCACTGTATATGCAGAAGTGGAGACATTCACAGTCTCTTCTTAGGTCGCCATGTCTTAGACTCATGCCATCAATTGCTGAACAGAGTGAGAAGTGAGAAAACATGTAGGGTTAACAGAACCAACCAAAGCAGAATCGTACGAATCCAACAAGGTAAATAAGTGAATAGTCATAGACCTCCACATGCAAGCAGGAATAGTTCTCTAGGCACTCTGTCAATGTCTGCCTCTGAGATAACCAGATATTCTGAGTGAATCTCTACTGGTATTGCCGTGTTAGCTCATATCTAAGGTTTAGAGATATCTGGGGCTTGACTTGATACTGCTGAAGCACATCTCAAGGAGCGGTGTGTTTGTGTGTACCCGTCTGTAAGAATCTTTCTGCAAAGAGACTCAGTATAATACTCTGCTGCCTGCTGGTAGTCATAGTGCTGGAAACAAATTAAGGGAACTTTGAGAGAGAGAGCGGGAGAGAGCGGGAGAGAGCGAGAGAGAGAAAGAGAGAGACAGAACAAGAGAGAGAGAGCGATAGAAATCAAAGTGGTTATTTATAGTGCAGTGTATTACCCACAGTCACACACATACACACACACACACACACACACACACACACACACACATGGACAACAGTCCAGTGGATTACCGCAGTAATCGGGTGCCACATAACAGGATGTAGTGTCTGCTACCCCACAATGCATTGCTCTGAGAGATGAGTGTTGAGTGGAGACTGCCAGGTGACTGCAATATACTCAATGGACCTCACATTTCTGATAATAACTACATTCTGAAACAACTCCTTAATTGATTAAACAAATCCCTATTTCTTAGATCATGAACCAACAAAGATAGAACCAACCCATTAGATAGATACTCGTTTACCCCCAATGTACACAGCTGTCAACTACAACCTACTGACTCAAGTGGCTTTCAAATAAATAAATCACTGTGCATGTAGCTAAGCTTACACAAACAAAACACACATACACACACGCAGGGACGGCCTGTTCAATAGGGCGATATGGGCGACGCACTGCCAAACGGGAAAAGGAAGGGATTTTTTTTCTAATCAATTATATCACGGCAACAGTAGTTATCAGTGTTGTAATCTGATCTGACTGCCACTAAATGTCAAATCAGGCTAAAGTCGTGCTTCAAATGGCCCCGCCCGTTTTTGGGGCGATTTCAGTCAGGTTGAAAATCGCCCAGAAGTCTCTCATAGCCTGTCATGTAAAATCTATTTTTTTCAAATTTCAAAGCTTTCAATACAATCTCTATGGGTGTCTGTGGGCTTGCACTTACGCGCTTTCGTCATACGTGACGTAACCATGAACGTAACTAAGCAAATAGCGGCTAGCAGCGTCTCTGTTGCGACCTGCAGTGTGGCGTTATCTTATGTTTTTAATTTGTACACTTAGTGGCGTTATTTTATGTTTTTAATTTGTACACTTAGTTTACAAACATTCTGCCAACCATGGATTTCCAGTGGTGGGTTTTGGACTGATCTTGTTGATCGTGTACATACCCGCTACGAACGGACTAAATAATGAAAACGCTGCTGGCAGCGGAATCCAATACAGCTGGGAGACTTGGCTGGATGACAGAGTCCCGGAGAAGTGGAGCCGGCCGGCTTCACCCTGGTCAGAGCGGACCGCGATCTGACAGTCACAGATCGATCCTGGTAAGAGAGCGACTCTGTACCCCCGACATTGAACTGCTTTCTGTGTCACTGCGACCTTACTATCTGCCCCGTGAGTTCCCCCAATTGTTTGTTACCGTTGTGTACTGTTGATAATCACAAGTTTACTGGAGAACTGAGACCAAGTAGAGACTTTGGACAGGGTGGATATGGTATAATAAAGGCAGTTTATTCAGAGGTAAAGATATCTGGAATCGCGTGCACGGACTCGTTCGTCAAACTCTTAGGGAGCTATCTGAAGAGAGCCCCGAAAACATTGTGCAGACATTTTATACAATAAATGATGTAGGTTGAATCTAGTAGTTCTGATCTTCTGATTGGTCCTGATGAGTTGGGCGAGGTCCCCTCCACTGTTGCATTGGCTCTGAGTCGGGTTCTCTGTCTTCAAATGTTCAGCCTAAAGAGAGGGGATTTTTGTGTGTGTGTGTGTGTGTGTTTAACAGTAATGATGTGTGTGTGTGTGTGTGTTATCAGTGATGATGTGTGTGTGTGTGTGTGTGTGTGTGTGTCCTCAGAGCAAGAACTCGTGAGTTGGAAGAACTGAGAGACCTATGGCGTGGGTGTTGTCCTTGGCCACCTGCTGACAAGGCTGACAAGATAGGACTCTTTTGTCCATTGTTATAGGATAGGAACAGCATTGATTGAAAACAAACGCCCAACACAAAATGGGTCATGCACAAGATTTTAGTCAGACCAAGCTATAACATTATATATTTACTACGACAGTACATTCAACCAAAAGCTAATATAACAAAGGCATCAGAGATTATTTATAATCTGTCACAGAAACTGGAATCCATCTCCCCAGATCAGTCAATAAATGCTTCTGGTATTGACTTATATGCTGCCCCTGTCTTCATGTTGTTGCTGGACATATCTTTTTTAAAATGTGTGTAGGTCACCTAAATCATCAGAAAAATTGCCCCTCCTGAGAATTTTTTCAGGAGCCGCCACTGCACACACGCACACAGAGGCTTGACATGTGTGAGCATAAGCCCATGATAGCAGCTGCAGGGGGTTGCGCAATGTCATTGTCAGACAAACACAGGGTTGCATGCTAGCATGTTAGCTGCTAAGTGTTAGCCTGTTATGAGCACTAATCCTCACTGCTCCTGTGGTGGGTTTAGGCTACTGAACAGAGAGAGAGGTAGCCAAATGCAACGATGCTGTATGTCTTGGCCAATTAATTGACTGTTTGGTTCATTGATTGATTGACTGATATTTATCATCCTTTGATAAGAAATTCTTAGCCCTAGTTGATTCTGACCAACTAATTCTCTCATCCTTGGCATAAGAATAACACTATAGGTGAACCCTATTAAGGTCATTTCCATGTAAAAGGATCCATGAGCACCAACATGTGAAGTTCATAGGAGCGTATCTAAGAGTCTATATTTTGGAGACATATCTCACATATCTTTAATCTTTAAGATTTTTCTAATTTCTCTCCCTCATGAGGGAGGATAATGAAAGTTCACAGAAGTAACAAGTAAAGGTAGACCTATCAATTTGTTACAGTGTTGTAATGGAATTTTCACTACTGTCCTCTCTTCCACTGGCATATTGTTATGTTCAGCTGGTGGTCATCTTGTGGTCAAAGCAAAGGTGTGATGTCTGGACAAGCTCTCTCTTTCTCAAACTTAGACGTCTATGATTGGTTCAGATTTGGTCTGGTCCAGACCAACCATATTTGGTCTTGTTTGGTGGCGGAGCTCATTAAAATAATAGCTTTGTTTGTAGAATAATACCCAAATATGCAAAGGAGGATATTGCATATTTATACTTTTGCATACCTATTTAGGATACATCCCCATGAAGAGAACGACAGTTCACTTACTGTAGATCAATAACAAAAATATATTTTTTCAAACTCAAGGTGTCATGTCATAGTTGGCACCCCATTCTTTCTGCAGACATCTTTGAATCTTAATTCTGAGCAGATATTTAACGGTTTTTTGGAAAACATGGTCGCATAAAAAACAGAGGGAGATTTTACAGAAATTCTGTTACCAAACTTTGCATCGGCACATTCTTCCAGTAAATGTGTTTTCGTAAAATGTTCAGTGTCAATTGTTAAAAGTAGTCCTTGTGCATAAAGCTGTATGGTATGTAAAACTTTGAAATCAATTGTTTTGTTAATGCATACATTTTAAGTGAAAAATCGGAGTAAGCGCAATTCCGTTCCCGTGGAATTGCCCTTAAGTGCTAAAACAAGCCTTATCTGACCATATGCCTGTACACAAAGCACATCAGACCAACTGAACCATGGATCCACCTCCTCAGTGTCCAAATACTGCATGTTATTGTCCATGCCCATTTTTAAGAGGAGAGGAGCAGGAGGTCGGAATTCATTGCTAGATACAGTCTAAAGCCGCAGATACACACCATGATTTATGAAATCCTACAGTCACATTGCAAGACACGCAAGAGTTCCAATAGGGCGATTCCAGCGTTATGGATGTTACATTCAGCGTTATGGATGTTATATTTAACCCAAAAAGCGGACTTCAAAAAATTGGCAAGATGTTACATGAAATTGGCAAGCATTTTGGGGAGACTGAAAATATTAGCAAAAGTCTGAGTTTGTAAGTCTTAGGTCAAAACATGCATAGCTACTTCGTTATGGTTGTTACAGTCTGAAATAGACGTTCAAATCTTAATCTTGATCAAAATATGTCATCATCTGGAACATTTCTAAAATGTCAGCAGAAAGCATAGTGCCTTAGGACTGACTACATCATTAAAAGTAGCCTAAATAGTATACTGCATAGGCTTAGGCCATATCAAAATGTTTCTTTACCAGTTGAATGGAGACACAAACATTTTAGCATGTATGCAGTGGGGAGAACAAGTATTTGATACACTGCCGATTTTGCAGGATTTCCTACTTACAAAGCATGTAGAGGTCTGTAATTTATTTAAATAGGTACACTTCAACTGTGAGAGACGGAAACTAAAACAAAAATCCAGAAAATCAAATTGTATGATTTTTAAGTAATTAGTTTGCATTTTATTGCATGACATAAGTATTTGATCACCTACCAACCAGTAAGAATTCCGGCTCTCAGAGACCTGTTAGTTTTTCTTTAAGAAGCCCTCCTGTTCGCCACTCATTACCTGTATTAACTGCACCTGTTTGAACTCGTTACCTGTATAAAAGACACATGTCCACACACTCAATCAAACAGACTCTAACCTCTCCACAATGGCCAAGACCAGAGAGCTGTGTAAGGACATCAGGGATAAAATTGTAGACCTGCACAAGGCTGGGATGGGCTACAGGACAATAGGCAAACAGCTTGGGGAGAAGGCAACAACTGTTGGCGCAATTATTAGAAAATGGAAGAAGTTCAAGATGATGGTCAATCACTCTCGGTCTGGGGCTTCATGCAAGATCTCACCTCGTGGGGCATCAATGATCATGAGGAAGGTGAGGGATCAGCCCAGAACTACACGGCAGGACCTGGTCAATGATCTGATGAGACAAAAATAGAGATTTTTGGTCTAAACTCCACTCGCCGTGTTTGGAGGAAGAAGAAGGATGAGTACAACCCCAAGAACACCATCCCAAAGGTGAAGCATGGAGGTGGAAACATCATTCTTTGGGGATGCTTTTCTGCAAAGAGGACAGGACGACTGCACCGTATTAAGGGAGGATGGATGGGGCCATGTATCGCGAGATCTTGGCCAACAACCTCCTTCCCTCAGTAAGAGCATTGAAGATGGGTCGTGGCTGGGTCTTCCAGCATGACAACGACCCGAAACACACAGCCAGGGCAATTAAGGAGTGGCTCCGTAAGAAGCATCTCAAGGTCTTGGAGTGGCATAGCCAGTCTCCAGACCTGAACCCAATAGAAAATCTTTGGAGGGAGCTGAAAGTCCGTATTGCCCAGCGACAGCCCCGAAACCTGAAGGATCTGGAGAAGGTCTGTATGGAGGAGTGGGCTAAAATCCCTGCTGCAGTGTGTGCAAACCTGGTCAAGACCTACAGGAAACGTATGATCTCTGTAATTGCAAACAAAGGTTTCTGTACCAAATATTAAGTTCTGCTTTTCTGATGTATCAAATACTTATGTCATGCAATAAAATGCAAATTAATTACTTAAAAATCATACAATGTGATTTTCTGGATTTTTGTTTTAGATTCCGTCTCTCACAGTTGAAGTGTACCTATGATTAAAAATTGCAGACCTCTACATGCTTTATAAGTAGGAAACCCTGCAGTGTATCAAATACTTGTTCTCCCCACAGTATATTGGTGGCGCAAACCCCCCAAAAATGTTTTAGATGCATGCCAGCAAAGTCACAACACAACACTAAACAATAAATCAATTGCACTATAACGGTGACAAACAGTGCCCACAAACTATTATGGGCTACATAAAGCGGTGATGTAGTGTCCCCATGAGTGACAGAACACTGAGCCAATCACGGCGCAACTAGAGAACATTACCAACCCCTACGCTCTGTATTTTCCGCTGGCTTCCCCACCACCACAGAAAGCACTGGGCTAGGCTGAAACACCTGCATTTTGGAGCTGCATTACTCAAGAAAGCAAAAAACAGACCATGTTTGTATGCGGCTTTATTAACTCAATGATATATTTTTTTATTGTTTGCAAACTGATATGTGACATGAAGTAATATAACATGCAAAACATGCAACAACAACAAACCAAAAATTGTATATACAGTACCAGTCAAAGGTTTTAGAACACCTACTCATTCCAGGGTTTTTCTTTATTTGTACTATTTTCTACATTATATAATAATAGTGAAGACATCAAAACTATGAAATAACACATATGGAATCATGTAGTAACCAAAAAAGTGTTAAACAAATCAAAATATATTTTATATTTGAGATTCTTCAAAGTAGCCACCCTTTGCCTTGATGACAGCATTGCACACTCTTGACATTCTCTCAACCAGCTTCACCTGGAATGCTTTTCCAATAGTCTTGAAGGAGTTCCCACATATGCTGAGCACTTGTTGGCTGCTTTTCCTTCACTCTGCCTCCGACTCATCCCAAACCATCTCGATTGGGTTGAGGTCAGGGGATTGTGGAGGCCAGGTCATCTGATGCAGCACCCCATCACTCTCCTTCTTGGTAAAATAGCCCTTACACAGCCTGGAGGTGTGTTGGGTCATTGTCCTGTTGAAAAACAAATGATAGTCCCACTAAGCCCAAACCAGATGGGATGGCGTATCGCTGCAGAATGCTTTGGTAGCCATGCTGGTTAACTGTGCCTTGAATTCTAAATAAATCCTTGACAGTGTCACCAGCAAAGCACCCCCACACCATAACACCTCCTCCTCCATGCTTTACGGTGGGAACTACACATGCGGAGATCATCCGTTCACCCACACCGCGCCTCACAAAGACACAGCGGTTGGAACCAAAAATATTAAAGTAATGATGGACTGTCATTTCATTATTTGAGCTGTTCTTGACAAATAAATGAGAGCATAGAACTCAGAGATAGCCTATAGGCCAATGCAGCAGTAGGCCTATAAGTTCCATCATCAACTAAGTAAAATTCATAGGCTTAAAGCCGACAAATAAAAACAGTAGAAAATATCCTGATGAAAACTCCAGTTCTTTCAATCACATTCATCTCTCTACTCCGCCAGTCGGCCTCCCTTTCTATTTGTCTTGACTTGAGCTATTGCTAGTTAAGTTTAACATTGTATCAATTTATCACAGGGTCTGGCCGGAAGCTGTCGCTAACGAACTTGTAACATTTTATCAACAAGCCTATTCCGGGCCCTCTAAGTTTCCTGCGCCAGTAAGCTTAGAACAGAAGCAGTTTTTTATTATGTTTCTACTGGATAGGATATATGAGATCATCAAATCATGATATTTTGATCTTTCACTCCGAGGCTTGGTGATTATCGAGGCCGGGAGCGTTGGAAAGATTTTTTAAAATACTGAGGAACTATCATTCGCATGGATGTTAGTAAAACAGACTTTGTTGACTGGTGTGAGGCAAAGAAAAAATTAGTGGTGAGTTAAGACATAAGACACTGCCAAATGGGCACTTTCCTACATATGCATGCATTCTCGAGAGACGCACCATATCTTCGCCACACCCCCCTCCGCTTTTTCTTGATGCGGCATTTTAAATTATACTCTCGACACATTATCTTCACACATATTTTAGACGCCTTTCACTGACAGCCGCAACTCAATCAGCTAGACCTATTGTCACAAGCACTACCCACATTGCGGCCTACCCAAACACACTAGTGTTTTGAAACAATCCACAGCAAAAAAATTTTTAAAGCTAATGATCCTCTGTGGCTAAGTCATGCTCTCTGGTTAAGTATTTTGAAAGATTTTATTTAGACAGGAGTAATTATATAATTTAGGCGAAACATCAATTTACTTTAGGGCAATCCAGCATCCTAACAGTGCACTATCACCTACAAACTTTCCTTTCCAATTCGCAACAGGCTGAAACCAGAGATCTGTATATAATGACGAGATGTTCATGTCTCCGCCCTAACAATGTGAGTCTTTGTCCCAAAGGCGGGAAGGCAGGCGTGAAGCTTAGGTCTGCATATTATTTCCATAGAAACGCATTGGGCTTATAATGGACAGATTTTCCAAGAGTGTGCCCTTTCGCTTCGCCTCTTCCTCTCTGTTGAAACTTTATCTCCGGAGAAAGCATCCAAGCGAGCAAAACAGCGCCCCTCTATATGTAGCCCATTATGGATGTTATGGATATCATAAAGCTGAAAACAGATAATGACAATAAAAAGGCAGAAACCAATTATAGACCATATAAAACCTTGATGAAAGTTAGCTTTGCAGAGAAAGTGTCAAGATGATCCGATGTAAGGGGCATGCTTTACAAAAACGTATCCTAAAAACATTATGGATGTCACATTGCCTGTCTCAATCACCCCCCTATCTTCACAAAACTGTAGAACTAGGAAATACAACCAAAGACACTCCAATTCAGTCTGTATTACTTCATTAACATCTCAATTTCATAACAAACACTGGTGGACAGCTGTGAGTGGAAAAACAAGATGTGAGCACTTTCGAAAAGCCATGAAATATGATTGACTGAAAATACTTATTTAAGACTTGGCCTCCTACTCTGTAATGGCCAAAATTCATGCAATTTTCTATTTTAACTGGTCAAATAAAACTTGAACTCCAACATTTAGAACCTAAGGATAATTATGAAAGTGGTTTAGTTTGAAAATTACTAACTTTATTTTGCATGCTCAGGTTAAATTTACCACAGAATCGCCCAATAACACAGCTTTAAAATGTTAAGATGTCATAACAGGATGTAGTGAATGTGTTTCAGTGTGCATCAGGGACTGCAAAACATTAAACAAAGTGCAGATCTGCCCCTAGAATAATATAATAGGCATTACAATGTCTCAAAAACGTCTGACAAAGCATTGTCCAGTGTGAGGAAGCCAAGGGTTGTGTTCATTAGGCACCAAACAGGGAGAGACTACCTGGACAATAAGAAACGGCTTTCATTCGCCATTGCAAAATGTTTTAAAACATGTTTTGTTTCGTGAACTAATGAACATGACCTTGCGGTGGCCTAGTGCCAATTTAAGACACAGTAGCATAATAGTTTAGATTAGAGGCCTCTTAATATATAAGGCAGTGTTTCTTAATTCTGGTCCCAAATTGATGCACATTTTAGTTTTTGCCCTAGCACTACACACACCTGATTCCACTAGTCAACTCATCATAAAAACTTTGATTAGTGGAATCAGGTGTGTAGTGCTAGGGCAAAAACTAAAATGTACACCGCTTTGGGTCCATAGGACCAAGATTAAGAAACACTGATATAAGGCCATAGTCCAAAATACAACCTAGTCCTACTCATCCCCACACTCCCTCAGCTTACGCTGCTCCCCAAAGTCGCGACCTTAACTCCCCTCTCCTATCCCAGGGTTCATGAACCAGGGTCGTGTTCAGTAGGGCACACCATAGCAAAAGGTTTTGAAATGGAAAACTGACATTTCTTATTGAACAAGTTCAGGTAGTACCTCCCTGTTTCACTCTGTTTCAAAAAGTTTTCTCCTGTTTCGCGCATGAACCAGGGTCATGTTCATTAGGCACCATAAAACTGAAACGGAGGGACAACCTGCTCGACCTGTCCAATAAGAAACACTCATTTTAATTTTCCATTGCAAAATGTTTTCGGTTGCACGTCCTAATAAACATGAACCAGGTCTGTGGAGGGTGATGGCACTGGTATAGTAGTACAGGAGAGAGGTCAGAGCTAATAGAATGATCCCTGGGCAGCCACCTGGACTGCAGCCTGTCTACCAATGTTCTCCAGGAAGAAGATTAGAGAGGTGGATCAGGAACTGGAGGTTAAAACTCTTCTGATGAATGGGATACTACTTACCGCACAGCCAAAAGCACAGTTACTTCTAAAGTGTAATACTGTGGCTCCCTTGAACACCAGTAAACAAAACTCCTTGCATCAATGCATTCCTTTTTCATATACATCCAAATAATGTTCTCCAGATTTAAATGGTGCACAACACATCAACAGTCAAATATCACTGGGAAACATAACAATCCTTTGTAAACTGCAGGTTATTTTAGAGTTAAGATTCACGATTATATAAGTATTTGATACATGATACTACAGTATATTCCCATAATAATGTGTCTAAGTCCCCTTATTTACATTACACACTTCCTTCTCCTCATATCCCTTTATAAGCTTCCCTTGTCCCCTTACCTTTTCCCTGTTAACTAAATTAATGAAAAGAGGTAGGTTATATTAACACAGGTCATACTATAACTTATGAGAGATTTTACAACCTGATGCAACCTGATGACAAGTTGTTACTAATATCTAATGACCACATCTTACCTCTTCAACTTGACGTGGTAGAAAGACAAACTACACACAGACTAAACACTGTTGTGTTTCTGGCAATTGCAGCTCTAGAAACTTGAGGCTCACTAAGACAGTTATACAACACTCCAACAATCCATAGTTCATCTCCATCCATACTCACTTTTCAGCACCACCTTGATGGGAGACTGTGAGGGGTGGTACGGATGGTGGTCCCTAGAGTTAGCGACTCCCATGTTCTTCTCTTTCTCTCTCCAAGAGACTTGATCTCTTAGTTCCAGAGACTTGTTGTTTAAATCAAACACGACACCGACTCAGCATCAGAGAAAAGAGCCTTTCAGAGACTTCAACCAGCGACTGGAGCCAACGAAAACAAAGTTATTAGCTTACGTCTCTTTGTCTAAGAAGGTCGTAGTGGTCAAGGGTACAATCCCACCACCTGGACTAGATTTCCACACTTCGGCTATCTGTGATGACTACAGGTATCTGTGAGGAGTCAGAGGTAGGTTAGCTAGCTGTCGTGACACTTCCCCAGTTCTTTACTAATGAATGCCTTAATAGCACACACCCAACCACCCAAAATACCTCCACATGATCAATATATGGCAGATGGAATATCTGACAGCATATGCTATAAACAGCAACAGGAGCAGTATCTGAGGGCATCTATCAATAGTGTTCCTATCCACATTGGCTAGTAAGGCAGCTAATGCTTTACACAACAGCACTAATCCAATCAGCTATTTAGAGGAAAAGATCAAGAATAACTTGAGCCAACACAGCAAACCCATTATAGACTTTAAACCCTGGTCAGACCATACTTATCTGCTGGGAATGTGATTGCACCTGTTGAGGACAAGTTAAAGCAAGGTATAAACCATTGTTTGGCCCACTGGGGCCACCCACAATGTAAAATGTATGCACACAAGACTAAGTCCCTTTGGAAAAAAGTGTCTGCTAAATGGCATATATTATTATATTGTTTGGGGGTGGACAGTTCTTGGTAGAGTCTATTGTATAAGTTACCTGAGTCGTTCCTTATCATTTCAGGAAGTCATGACACCCACCATCTCAGATTGTTCAGATTTTTTGTCTGCAGTTAGAAACAGGTAAGATTGGCATTCCTGAAACATTATTTTGTTGACATGTTATTTTATCTCTTTTAAGCTAATTGATTGTACCCAAATTGGCCAATTTAATGAATAGGTTTCAGATAATATTAAATAAATATAGTACCCAACATCCGATTAGGACCAAACTTCTTTCTACCAATGATTAAGACATGAGGAATCCAAAATAATTGTCAAAAGCCACCCACGGACCCCCCTCCATACTATGTAATGTATTCCCTGTGAATCTGGTGATGTTTTTTTCCCCCTGTTCAGAGAAATTTGTAATTTAAGTCGATTGCATTATTTACCATAAAGTAGTGTGAAAGTACCCAGTTATGACCACTAGATGCCGTTGTTCCTGCTATACCGCCACACTCTTTTATTCATTTAGCTGATCTCTTGTGTTTATTAAATAGATCACAACATTTCCTTTGGAGAAAACCAATAGATTTGGCTCATGGTGAAAATAAATTGTGTGGTCATCCTCCATGAAAGCAAATCAGTTTGTTCTTCTTTTATGCTTAATATGTGTCCAGGAAACGGACCCTTTGTGTGTGGTTTATGCCCTTAAAAAAAGGTCTGGATTAGTTACTGTTAGACCATTCCTGGCGAACAATCAAACCATGAGGCAGCAGTTCTAATGGTTTCAATGTTATGGTCTCTAATGGTCTTCAATGGTAAAAGTCCTAAATGCACATTGTATAGAGTTTTTCAATTGTAATGGTATTGAGTTGCATTGGGTTTAATGGTGAATTTAATACATACAGAGGGATCTGTTATCAGAAAAATATATTTTGTTAACAAAAGGTATACGTTTACAGAACATTAATTTTTTGTTGCATTTCTACACCACATTTCCTGCAATTCTACAAATTTTTCCATGGGGTGGGGGTAATGTTTTTGCAGTTTTAAAGCTAATTTCCAGCAATTCTACACATTTTGTCATGTTATATGCCTTGTTAATATGATAACTGAGTGAAAGTGACTAACAAAAATCAATGTGGGCCCCATGGAGATCAGGGTCCCTGGGCACGTGCCCTGCTTGCCTGGTCGGTAATTCGGCCATGATAACTAAAAGTTTAGATAACTGGCTAGACTAACTAGACTAATTTACCAATGGAATTTTGTTTAACTGACATGGGCTCACTGAATACGTTTATATGCACACTAATGACTCAATGTTAAACTGATTATGGTAGTAGGCCGAGTATGGCATATGTCACTTAAACACCATACTCCGCTTATCTTAATCGGCGTGAGGTCATAATCGGAGTAAGCATACGGCGATTAAAACACTTGGTTTCTGAGCAATCTTTCAAATTATTAGGACATGTAAACAGTGTAATGAGAGTTCCATCGAACTATTTGATTTGCACATGTGCGGGCACCAGCAGTGCAATCATCCCTCTTATGCTGAAAGTATGCATCTTATAAATAGTTTTCACATATAAACATAATATATCCGAACTCAGAATCAAATAGAGTTCCCAAAAAAAACATCAAACTTATTTTGATTGGCGATTTTCTGCATTTATCAAAGTCCCATCACGTAGCCTGATTTCAGATGTGTCCATGTAAACTGGATTATTAGGGAAATCATTCTTCTTGCAAAGCATGTAAACGTTTAAATCAAACTATTATATTAATCTGACTATTCACAATAAAAATTTAGTATTATTGTGTGTATGTAACCATACTCACTGTCAGTGAGTGACATATAACACTAGGTAGATGCAATGGCGACCGAAGTCAGCGTGCATGCGCCTGGCCACCACAAGGAGTCGCTAGAGCGCGATGGGACAAGGACATCCCAGCCGGCCAAACCCTCCCCTAACCCGGATGACGCTGGGCCAATTGTGCGCCGCCTCATGGGTCTCCCGGTCACGGCCGGCTGCGACACAGCCCGGGATCAAACCCAGATCTGTAGTGATGCCTCTAGCACTGCCTTAAACCGCTGTGCCACTCGGGAGGCCTCAATAAAAACAAATTGACACTGTAGTGAGGTCTAAGTGCTTGGATCGATAGGCAGTGCTAAATTGAGTGATATGAGAAAGAAACATTTGGATAATTTAGAATGCTTTCATAAAACAAAAATAGATTTACTGTTGACACGAAGACTTCACTCTTGGTAGTTAAACATACCGGCACAGATAATCTGGCAAAATGGAAACGCTGGAAATCCGTTTTACAAATATTACACAATGCATTTACATACAAAGAGAGCGAGAGCACAGGATGCCATTATTGTGATAACCAGACCCCTGTATGTATGGCTCCACCCACCTCTACACACAAGTGGAAGTAGCACAGCAGGATGGTGGCCTTGGAGCAGGTGATGAGGAAAATGATGAACACCAGGAACAGGAACCCAAACATGTAGCACATCTGGTGAGATAAAGTATTGAGAAAATACTCAACAATCAATCAAATTCAGTCTCATTGCTTAAAGGCTGAGTTGACCTTGGTTCAAATAAATGATTAGGTATTTACTTATTAGTTAGATTGTAAATGTTATTTACACATTAATAATCAATTAATTACTTGTTTGTTTCTTTATTAATCATTATACAAGCACCACTAGGCTAATTCAGGCTCATGGTTGAGTGGCAGACTTGACCCTTGTTCTTGCCAGATGCTGTTGAGGATGAAGACGAGCTGAATGCAGCCGAAGGGCAGGATGCCCTCCATCACGATGTCGGGTACGGGCTTGGTGAAGAAGGAATGTTCAAGGATCTGCCGAGTGATCTTGTTGGTTCACACTGGCTGCTCAATCACCTGGAGCACAGAGAGTAGCATAGAAACTCATCAAGACATTTTTAGACCCTTGATAGTGTGCTATATTTTCTCTGATTGTTATGCCAGTGTGAAAGAGATCGCAAACACAGGAGGGAAATGCACATGATGTAAGATGACCTGAAAGACATTCATACAGACAGTGTGATTGAGAGGTGAAACTCACAGGCCTCTTGAAGCCAAAGTAGGCTAGGCGCCCACGAAGGTGAGGGGCACAGAGATGCCAAACCACAAAGCCAAGATGGCCACCAGCGTGCCGAAGGGGATGGCTGCCAAGAAGCCCTCCACCTACAGGATCAGGTTAAAATGTAATGTCAAGGGCCTCCCGAATGGCGCAGCGGTCTAAGGCACTGCATCACAGTGCTAGAGGAGTCAATACAGACCCGGGTTCGATCCCGGGCTGTATCACAACCGGCCGTGATCGGGAGTCCAATAGGGTGGCGCACATTTGGCCCAGCATCGTCTGGGTTAGGGGAGGGTTTGTCTGTGGGGGGGCTTTACTTGGCTCATTGCGCTCTAGCGACTTCTTGTGGCGGGCCGGGCACCTGCAGGCTGACCTCGGTCATCAGTTGAACGGTGTTTCCTCCGACACATTGGTGCAGGCGGGTGTTAAGAAACGCGGTTTGGCGGGTCATGTTTTGGAGGACGCATTACTCAATCTTCACCGCTCGTTGGGGAGTTGGAGCGGTGAGACAAGATCGAAATTGGGGAGAAAAGGGGGGTAAAATATGTAGATTTATATGAGAAGGACATGCATAAACTTGGTATCATTGGAAGGAAAACACCTGGGAGATAAAGAATGGCACAGTTCAGATCACACAAAATCAAGCACACACTCTTTCATGGACAATCTATAAGTCTATTCTTGATGAATAGAGCTGGAAACGCATCAGATGGCTTCCACAAGAAGTCAAAAACCTTCGGGGAAAAAATTGGGACTGATAGACATAACAGCTAGAACTTTACAGACGTTTTAGTAAGTGGTTTCAGGTGCGGTCAAGGGACATCTCCAAGTGTCCCCTCAACCTCTCCAAAGTGTTCTACGTTTGTAAATGAGGTAATTCCACAGTTTTACTAATTGAATATGACTAAAAGTTATTGGTCACTGTAAAAACAATTTCTACAATATAAACCTTGCTCAAACATTGTGGTGGTGTCAAGGGACATCCGCGTTTTCTTTTAACCTCTCCAAATGGGGTAATTTCACTGCTGTTACACATTGAATAAGCCTAAAAGGTATTGGTCCCACATACAAATTAACTATTTACAAAACAAATTATGAAAACAGATATGTCAAATTGTGTTATCGAAACACACACATGGCCTAACTA